GTAGTTCGGTTCTCTGACCTGTTATATGCAAATTCCGCCTGAGGCAATGCCAAGTCCCACTGTCGCGAATTATCTCCAATCAAACTCCGCAGCAAATTCCCTAAGCTTCGATTGACAACTTCTGTTTGACCATCAATCTGAGGATGATGAGATGAACTAAACTTCAAACTTGTACCCATGTACCTCCAAAGAGTGCGCCAGAAGTGACTCACGAACTTCACATCACGATCTGAGATAATGGACTTAGGAATTCCATGCAGCTTAACAATTTCCCGCAGAAATAATCGAGCAACCTGTGAAGCATCATAGGACTTGCTACATGGGACAAAGTGGGCCATCTTCGAGAATCTATCAACAACCACTATTATTGAATCCTTACTCCGTTGCGTTCTTGGTAAACCCAAGACAAAGTCAAGACTGACATCCTCCCACGGCGCAACGGGAACAGGTAGAGGCATATACAATCCTGCATTAGTACTCTTGGTCTTTGCCACATGACATACCCTGCACCTCTCTATAAAACGTGTCACGTCACGCTCCATTCGAGGCCAATAAAAGTGTTCACTCAACAAGGCCTTCGTCTTATCCACGCCAAAGTGCCCAGCTAAACCGCCCGCATGTCCCTCAATAATAATAGATTCCCTCAAAGAACATTGAGGAATGCACAATCTGTTACCTTTAAATAGGTAACCTTTCACGATCTGAAATTGCTGAAAAGGCTCCGTTTTGCTCTTCCTCCAGATATCCCTAAAATGAGGATCATCAACATATAAATCTTTAAAAGTGTCAAAGCCTAGAACTTTTACCTGCATTGTAGACAACAAAGAGTGTTTTCTGCTCAATGCATCTGCCACATTATTTAGTACTCCTGCCTTATGCTTGATGGAAAAACTGAAAACTTGAAGGAACTCCACCCACTTTGCATGCCTTGCATTCAATTTGTGCTGCCCATTGATATATTTCAAGGCTTCATGATCAGAAAATAAGATAAACTCTTTCGAAATAAGGTAGTGCCTCCAATGCTCCAAACTCCTCACAATAGCATAAAATTCTTTATCATAAGTTGAATATTTCCTTTTCGCCTCGTTCAACTTCTCACTAAAAAATGCCACAGGTTTACATTTTTGACTTAGGACACCCCCAATATCAACACCTGAAGCATCACAATGCACCTAAAAAATCTCATTAAAATCAGGAAGCACGAGAACAGGTGCTTCAGTCACCTTCTTCTTTAATAATTGAAAGGCAGCTTCTGCCTCCTTAGTCCACACAAATTTACTTCCTTTCAGACAATCCGTCAGAGGTGCAATAATAGTACTGAAATCCCGAATAAATCTCCGATAAAAAGACGCACGCCCATGAAAGCTACGTACCTCATGAATATTTTTCGGAATCTCCCAATTTGTAATAGCCTCAACCTTAGCTGGGTCCATATGAATGCCTTCCTTAGTTACTATATAGCCCAAAAAGGTCACACGATCACCAAGAAGTGTCACTTCTTGGTATTAGCATATAATTTCTGTTCCCTCAATGTCTCGAACACCATTCTCAAATGCTGCAAGTGTTGATCAGTCAATACACTATAAACCAAAATATCATCGAAATATACGACGACAAACTGGCCAATAAAAGGACGAAACACCTGATTCATCAATCTCATAAAGGTGCTCGGTGCGTTAGACAACCCGAAAGGCATCACCATCCACTCATACAAACCATCTCGAGTTTTAAAAGCGGTCTTCCACTCATCTCCAGGACGCACCCTAATCTGATGATATCCACTCCTCAAGTCTATCTTCGAAAAAATAGTCGCTCCATGCAGTTGATCAATTAAATCATCAAACCTCGGAATAGGAAAGCGATACCTGATCGTGATCTTGTTAACAGCTCTGCTGTCCACGCACATTCTCCACGACCCTCCTTCTTAGGAACCAACAAAGCTGGCATTGCACAAGGGCTCATGCTCTCTCGAATTGCACCTTTTTCTAATAGTTCCTTCACTTGCCTCTGCATCTCCTCATGCTCCTTAGGATTCATTCTGTAAGCTGCCTTATTAGGAATAGTAGCTCCTGGAACGAGATCTATACAATGCTGAATGTCCCTCATGGGTGGCAATCCAGGTGGCAATTCCTCTGGTACGACATCAGCAAACTCCTCAAGTATAGGCAGAACTTGAGTTGAAATTTATGGACTATCAAGATTCTGCTCCACGACTACGACAGCAAAAAGCTCTGGGGCATTCACCGCCTCCTCCTGGAACTCTGATTTGGAAAGCAGATTACTTTTCCCTTCTTTTCTCAAATCTGAAGGATCCAAAGTAATGGTCCGACCATCCTTCTTGAAGGTGTACGTATTTTTGAATCCATCATGCTGTGTTTTCCTATCAAACTGCCAAGGCCTCCCCAACAGAATATGACAAGCATCCATTGGAACTACGTCACCCCACACTTCATCAGTATATTTCTTCCCAATCGAGAACTGCACTAAACACCTCTTGCTCACTTTTACCTCGTTCCCTTTTCTAAGCCACGACAGCTTGTATGGTTGAGGATGATCTTCTGTTTTCAACCCCAACTTTTCCACCATAGTCGTGGATACCACATTCTCGCAACTTCCTCCATCAATGATCATACTGCACACCTTTCCCCTACTAGTGCACTTAGTATGAAATATATTATGCATGAGCCACGATTCATCATCTACCTCAGCAATATTTAAAACCCGACGCACGACTAAAGACTCACCAGAATCGGCATAGACAATGTCCTCCGGATCTGGATCTGCATCTGCTTGCTCGCCTTCAAATTCATCATAAGCTGGGTCTTCATTAAAAGTTGGATTATCTACAAGTGTCACAAACTGTCGGTTCGGACAATCAGCAGCAAAATGCCCGAGTCCTTGACACTTAAAACATTGCTTGCTTGCAGCTCCTCCCCTGCTAGATCCAGCACTACCCTGCTCTTCTTTTGTTGCAGATTTTGAACCAGCGCCCTTAATTGCTGCCGGAGCTGAAGAACTCCCTGCTTTCCCCCGAGACTCTTTATCTGACCACTTGGAACTGCTGCCTGTCCACTTAGAACCGCTGCTAGACCACTTGGACTTACTGCCTTTTCTTTTAAACGGTCCCTCCACCTTTAGGGCTAGTCTGCACACATCCTCATATGTCCAATACTGCTGCAATTGGACAACATCAAAGATCTCATATCGCAGCCCTGCCAGATATCGTGCAATCGTCTGCTCGTCTTCCTCTGCCACATCACAACGCATCCGCAAGCGATCAAATTCTTCTGTGAATTCCTCAACTGTTTTATCATCTTGCTTGACGTTATGATATTCGATAAACGTCTCTTGCCTATAATTGGTAGGCAAAAAACTTTTCTGCAATAACTTTTTCATCTTCTCCCAGCAATCCACCTTCGGCTTGCCCTCTCTAGCGCGTTGCTTTTTTACGTGTTCCCACCAAATCGAAGCATGTTTCGCAGCCTAATAGCCACTAACTTCACTTTTTGCCCCTCAGTTAGGTCTTTAAGATCAAAAATCCGTTCTACCGTATGCAACCAATCAATAAACTCATCAGGATGAGCCTTACCATTAAATTCGGGAATCTCGATCTTCATTCCGAAATTTTAAGAAGAGCGCTGATTTCCGGGTCGTACTCCTCGATTTCGCCCCTGGTTCATAACCCCAAAAGGGTTTACGTCCTCCTCTTCATCATCGGATGGATCCTCAGATTCTGCTTCTTCTTCGGATTGAACGCCCAACCTCGCCTTCGCAAGTTGTCGCTCCAAATCCTGGATTCGTCTTCTCTGCTCTTCAATTTCTACGTCTCGCAAATCTCTTAGACGCGGTTGATCGTCTGCTTCAGGAACGCCTCCACGCCTCCGGCCACCACGAACCCCCCGCCGTCCACAACCGCGATTCTGTTCAGCCATTGATTCAAGCAACCTGTGCTCTGATACCAATTGATGCCGAAACGCGATAGAAAAATTGACTGAACAAGAAAATTCGACATAAGAACAATTCGTCCTCCAAATATGATTATCAAATCAAAAATATCCAAATCTGCTGAAAAGAAACCCTAAAACAAGTTTATATAACCCCAAACCAAGCCCTACTAGGATTAGGAAACATCAAAACGTAAAATTACGAAACTACCCTTTACTAAATTAACCCATAAAAAATACTAAAAAAAAGAAAAACCCATCTAAACAATCTCGAATCGCGAAAATCCATCGTTAGTCACAACCAAAGGCGGTGAGTATTGATCAGCACGCCGTTTCGCTTCAGCCGACCAAATTTGAGCTCAATTTGATATCGTTGACTTCAAATCCGCCGATTCGTCTAGTCGCATAACGGGTCCGCCGGTCCCCCTTAGGTGCATTAGTGACGGCCCAAGCCCAGCGGCGGAGCACAGGGTGGAGGGATGGCGGTGCGTCCGCACCACTACCCCGGACGTGCGCAGGAAAGTGGGGTACTTCTTTTGTCCCACATCGCCTGGGGGGAAGTTCGGGCTAACTTATAAGGCTTAAGGTTCTATATCTGTGTAATGCGTTTTAAAGTTGTGAGGGTCAATAGGCCCAAAGTGGACAATATTACACAATATAGACCCGGGGTATTACACATCCTCAAGCCGTCGTCGCCTAGCCTTGACTTATTTCTTCCTACGCACCTATGATAAGCATTAGAGATTCATCGAATTTCCGGCACAGAATTTAAAAGATTTCCAATGAATAATATCCTCCTCTCGTTTTATTTGCTTCTCCACAAGTTGCACATTCACATCCACATGATACAAACAACCCCTTCTTCATCCTTTTCTTTCCAATCCTTCGAGACATCTCCTCTTTCCCTTCGACGAACCGGACCAGTGCTCGCATAACCCTATTCATGGAGTCAATCGGAACCCTAAAAAGATCCAAAGAAGTAGAAACAAACCATGGGAGATTTCGAATGCGATCATGGAAGCAAGACCATGCAAATGCACCGTATATAGCAACGTATTGTACACCCAGAAATACTTCAATAAAAAGAAAGAAAGAGAGAAAAGAACAGAGACATATAGACAAGAATATTCACGGACTACATACTTTTCATTTTTCCTAAGGTTGAGGTTTCCCAAAGCAAGCCGGACCAATAGCCAGAGAGGTACCTGGTCCTCTCCCATTCACCCCACAAAAACAGCCAACCCGGACCAACTGGACACCACGAAAACGACACCGCATCTTCTGTCCCCCCCTCCCCCCTCTAGCTTCATGCACAACATAATCTGTACAAATCTAACAATGACTTAACCCTTTAGATTTCCCTAATCATCTCTACTTTCATCTATGCTATAGAAGATGATCCCCCCCCCCCCCCCCACCGTTTAGCAGCATTGCCAGCCAAATCATTGGGTGATTATGGACATCGATTCCCTCAGGCGACGCTGATGATGCTGTTGGTCGATGACGAGTGCGGCGTCGCCGCCGCCGCCTGCTGGTCGTCGGAGGGCATCGTTGCCACCGCTGCGGCGAGCTTGAGAGACAGCGGCCAAGGCTCCGCCGGTTCCGGAGTCACAGTCGCCTTGTTGAGGTCGAGGGCGGCCATCTTCGAGGACGGACGGATAGGGAGGATCGGAACCGGACGGATGGGCTTCGACGGGGTCGGTTTCGACTGGTGGCCCTCTTTGCCTAGGCGCAGACCTTCCAGCAGATTCTCGCTGGTTCCGGGCAAAACCGCCGGAGGCAAGGAAAGAGGGAAGCTTGGTACTTGGTGCGCTTGATGACCCTCCTCCTTTGAAGAACTTGAACCACCAAAGTACTGTAACAGATTTTCAGTTGACGTTTGAGTTTTCAGGGGAAAAACAATTCTAAGTTGACGCCATACTCTGTTTTTTCTCCTGAAAAATATTTCCTGCGATTGCTTTGTAATCCCTTAAGGAAAGATTGGTCATTCCACTTAGGTTATGGCATTGCTTTACCTTTTATGGAAAAGAAAATCCGGAAAAAATCAATGGATTCTTGCTGTTACCAGCAAGTTCCATTTCCTAATAGGCATGCACAACACACAGACAGGGATGCAAGAACTAGTGGATTTGGGTTGTTCTTCAACAGCTAGCAATAGCATCCCAGAGTGTAGATGCCCATGTTAAGGACCAGGGACATCAATTGATGCTCTTGCTATTTCGAAAAAGTTGGAATTTGTAGGAAAAAAAGTCGATCATCGAACGATTGATGCTGTGCTTACCGAGTCGGTGGTGATGTCGAAGAGGCTGGACCGGCGGCGGCGCCGGTTCTGGTTGCTCCGCCGGAGGAAGTACTTCTGGGCGTGGCTCGCCACCTGCGTCGGCGTCCGCGTCTTCACGAAGTTCCTAGAGATCCCTCTCCAGTCCCCCTTCCCCACCTTCTGGAGTCCCAACAAGAAGAGCCTGTGCTCTTCCTCCGTCCATGGAACTCCTATAAATCAAACCCCCATGATTAAATCAAATCACCCAAAAGCTGACCAAGAACCCCCCCCCCCCCCCCTCCCTCCCCCAGTTCACCTAACTAAAAAAAACCGTATAAAAATCCGCCGACACGGATACAGTTCAATCACCTCTCTTCTTCTCGCGGCTGCGACCGGAGGGGTGAACGACGTCGTCGGAGGCGTAGCCTGCGTCGACGATGTTGGAGGACTCCGGGGCGTGCTCGTACTGAGAGAGGTTGTTCATGCTGGCGCTCTTCCTGAAGGCCGAGCCCTCCGCCGTCAGTCGCACCCCGAACAGCATGATGCCGCCGCCGCCGGTCCCCTCCGCGGCGCAGGCGCCGCCGCCGCCTCCGTCCGCGCAGGTCCGCGAGTTATGCCCGTTGTTCCCGCACTGCGAGCAAGTCCGCGACATCTTCCGGATTGTTGGCGCCTCCTCTTCAACCCCACTCGCGGATCACCCAGAGCCCACGAGCCCGAGATACGGAGGGCTCAGAATTAATCTCAGACCATGCAAGAAGGAGGAGGAGAGGGAGAGAGAGATGGAGATGGAGAGAGAAGCGAGAGTGTCCTTAGAGAGAGAAAATGTGGGGGAGTTGCATGGCGATGCGTGGGATGATGAAGAGGAGGAGGAGGTGATGGGGGAGTAAATAAACGGTCGGGATCGGATGGATGGGGGGGGATGGGCGAATGGCGGCCGTTCGAATATCGAGCGATTTACACGAGGCCAGGTGTCTTTGGAATTTCATCTCTTTTCTTTGAGGGGTGCGAGCAATATATCATGCGTGACGATTAGGGTAACATTACCAAATTTCAATCTCGTGTAGATATATCCAATACCTATATATATATGGATGTTGATATCCCATCTTAGAGTATATTTTGCTCATAAATTATCCGAATTTCAGCTGTAAATCCTAGGGAAATAGTCGCGTGAATAAAGTCGGTTCGATCGGGAGTTCGTCCGAAGAGGAATATAGAAATGCGTATGCATCTCATGGGGAAAAGGGAATATCATCCAGGGCCGAAAAAAGGAAAACAGAAACATCTTTTTGTTGCTCATCACATGTAGCCTTCCTAATTATGTGTAAATATGTAAGGAAAGGATTATAATATATAACTTATCAAAGTAACAATTCATACGGTTTTATTTGTATCGTGTGCTATAATTTATGTCAACAATATTTCATAAACACTTCTTAACAGAGTGATTTTACTCGATTCTCCAAATGTCGACGAGCACGCGTATTTGCCAGTGTTACGTGAAGCAAACCTTCCGGGCAATTTTGGCTTCGAATTTTTACAAAAAACCTTCAGCCAATATGAATTATTATTATTATTATTAAAACAAAGGACAGTCCGTAGAAGAGTCTGGACTTTTTGAAATCTCTAGCACTTTTTTAAATTGAAGTTTTAATATCTCTTACTTAAAAGCAAAGTCAGTTCAACAAATGTCCAAATCTTCCCTAGCCCATCGTTCCAATACACCTATCTTTTGAAGTACAACGCGTGCGCCTTCCTAGCAGCATTATTTAATACTAGCAAAGCCTACCTAATACAGTAAACGTCCCGATTGGCGGGTCCAAGTTCAAGGGCAAAGATTAACAGATTATTCTAGACCTCTTCTGACGTGGGTACGTGATTAATTAAGCTAATGGCCGTGGTTAAAGCTGGAGGGGCGGCGAAGTGGTCGAGCGATCGGGAGAGAAAAGCAAAATGTCTGCTGGCCAATGGAAAGGCGATTTGAAAGTGGAGGACAAATAATCCTTCGGATCATATAAGTTATTGGAACGTGGGGTTGGAAATGAATTTGGAAAAGATGAAAGTATGCATGGTGTAGTGGCGAAAGTTAAAATGGCAAAAAAGAAAAAGGGGGTGGTGCTGGTGCTGGTGCTGGTGGTGGAGCAGCAGAGGGAGGGGGGCCGTCTCCACCGTCGGCTTGGCATATTCGGTCGGCCCCTCCTCCCTTTTGGAAAAGATTTGGGGTTGTGCGTGTGCGTGTCCCGCGTTTGACCCCATCGCGTCCTTCGTCCATCGCATTCAATCGTCCATAGTGACGGCCGTGGTCGTGGTGGTGGTGGTCGTGGTGGTGGTGAAGAAGGGGGATAAGTGGAGCTGGAGCCGGGCCCCGCCATCGCCACATACCTGGTGCCGCAGCCCCACTGCTCGCTCGCTTGCACTTGTTGTTGGGGGATGCGCAATCCGTTCCGTCCGTCGGGAGCACGCAACAGAAGCCCGATAGAGGGGGTGCAAATCCGAACCCGTCAACAAATCCAGTTAGATTCATATTCATTCAAAAGCTTAAATCAATGAATTATGAACCAATTATGATAACATTAACTGTTCGACATCACATCAATTTTTCGACGTGTGACTTTTCTAACTGCTCGTCCTAACAATCTCCCTCTCACGTCTGAGTTTTCGGACCGAGCCACCACCGCAAAGCCCACCGCCCAGAAAGCTACTATGATAGTATTTGTTGGTAGCACAACAGAATTCTAATACCTTCCACTCAAGGAGATCGCCAAATAGTGGTAATCAGTTTCCGATCCGGTCCGATAGGGAACCGGGGATCGAACCGATTGGTCCTAGGACCAGGAACCGGTCGTTTCTTTTTTTTTTTTCCACTACTTGATACCATATATTTTGAAACTAGAATTGTGTTCTCCATGCCAACTACACATAATCACAAAAACAAGTGTGCAATTCCAATCAATGCGATGACGAATTGTGTTCTCCATGCGGACTACACATAATCACAAAAAAAAAAGTATATGTAGTCGGTTCGGTCCGATTCCCTTTAGAATCGGGAGCCGAATTACCCGGACACCGGTTTCACTTTTAGGAACCGGAAACCGAACCGACACTTTCGGGAAACAAGACCAAACCGGCTGGTTCTGGCGGTTCTCAGTTTGGGCGATCCATTTTGCACACTCTTATTGCCAAGAGGGAACCCAAATCCTAAATCATCAATATATCCAGTCGAATCTATCTTCACTCGAAAGCTTAAATAAATGAGTTATTGGCTGATTATGATATATTAACTACTCAACGCTCCCCCAATTCTTCGATCCAAGACTTTTCTAATACAACTGGGTCTCTTCTTTTACCGTCAGCCTTTCTTTGTGGCTGGCTGCGTGAGCGGATTCCTTTTGCTTTTTTCGTTCCATTATAGTTTGAAGGTTTGATGGGCTGCCGCCTTTTCCTTTTGTTCTTTTCTCTGTTTCGTCGCGCCCTCTTCCTTTTCCGCTTTGACCTTAGGAAGCGAGAGTGGTAACCAACGATGGGGCGGATTCTCCCATCTCCAGAGATTGCTTTGATTCGCTTCACATGCATGGGAGCTTTGCTGGAAAAGTCGGGGAAACGTGTCGTCTTCCCGAGGCCATAAAACGGAATGACGACATCATGAGAAGATAAAGAACGATACCCGTTTTGTTTAACATCTAAGCACGTGAAATACGGTAGCGACAAATTATGATGCGATGAATTTCGATGAATCGATTATGGTCGGAACGATAGGCTTAGAAAAGCGACGTGCTCGATGCATATCCGCTTCAGCACCGTTGTTCCCGTTATCCAGGATGCACGTTCGATCGTAAGCTAAAATCCAAATAAAATATCCTCCATCTTATCCCGCTATGAACGGAACGACCTCCTCTCTTTTTTCGTTCCTCCATTGCATCTTCCGCACCACTTTGAAGGCTTTTGCTCATGGATGCCCCTATGATACCCTTTCGAATTGCATTCCACGCTGTTCCCTAAGCACGAGAAACTCCTTTTAGATATACCAACTTCTAGCAACACACCAATCAGAGACACGGTCCCTCCAAATTAAAAGACGGAGGCGATGGCGACCCTTCAACAAAAGGTGGTATCTTAAAGCGCTGAGCACGCGTAAGCAAAAACGTTAAGCAAAAGGATAATCACGTGCCAAATGAACGGGGGGAGGCAGCACTGTCGATGACGAGACGAATGACGGTTTTCCTGGTTGCGGTGGTGGTTGGTTTGAGGGAAAACGGGCGTGGCGCACGTGCTCTAAATGAATGGTGCCTCCCCTGTTTTTGTCGGCGCTTTCGTGTCGGGAGGCTAATTGGATGGGTACGTGCGGGAGCGAGGCGTTTGTCGCGATCCGTGGGGCGACATCGATCGGTCGCCTCGGTTCTCGCGAGCTCGTGGCGGCTAATGTTTCTGCTCCTCATCCTCTCCCTCTCCCTCTCTCCCTCTCCTCATTGGTCCTGCTTCTCCCTGCTTCTCCTGTCCACCTAATTTTCGTTGCTCCGAATCCCCGGTTTCTTTCTCCAAATCATCATCGACGCCAATGTCACCAAAAGGCCCAGAGGAAAAGGAAAGAATGGTTTTTCTTTTTCTTTTTTTTTCTTTTGTGGCGGGATGGATTCGTATTGTAATGACCTGGCACGATCCGCTTGGACCCGACAGCCCGGGCGAGTGTGTTCGGAGTTGACCGCTTGAGGCGGTGCGCATTTGGAAGCGGGTCTCTCGAACGAATCGAGTCACGGATCCTCTAGAGTCAATATGCATGAGACTTGATGCGTGGCAAAACTTTACCCGCGTGAAGTACGTCGATATCTCGGCTCCGAGCCTAATGTTATTAGAAGAGGAGACATTCTCCGGATGGCCCCGGAGATTCCATGGGTAGCTCTCGTTGTGTATACACGATGATGGATCCGCTTAGATAAGCCTTACAAAATGAACTCTCTGTTGTGATGATTCTTATAGATGTTGCGAGAAATCCAAGTCGTCCTCTGTCGTAAGAACTCTTTTAGAATCATCCCAATATAAGAAAGAAAAGGCACGCGACAAAGTTTTGAAAAATTACATATGCAAACGGTACGACGTTTGACATGATACATGACAATACGGGAATAAAGTACTCGACAATCGCGTAATGGATCAATCTAGGCATTTAATTTGTGCTCTTGTGGTTTGTCAGCCTCGATGTGAATCTCGGTCATTGTTCTCATTACAACTTTTTGCATAAAAGCAAATTTTCTACAGGCACTCTTTGACTGTCCGCCTTAGAGAGCTTTTCAAGATCGAACTATTCCTGAAACCATCTGTCAGATAAACTTATTTGATCTTTCAGAATATCTGACTCCCTTACCTGCAAACACAGACGCATTCACTGCATGCAGCAAGATTAGATGACATGCTCCAAAGTTCTCTCCTCATCACACAAGAAAAGGGACATCCGTTCGAGGATTTCATCTTCTCTAAAACAGAACTACATCACTTTCCCGAGCATTAGAAACCATTCCTTCCCACTAGAGGACGACGAGTAATGGTTGCCATTCGATCTTTGACTCCGAAGTAAAACACTTCCTGAGAAACTTTGCACAAGGCTGCATATGGCGATCTTTGACCGGCAATCAGTTGCCATGAATCACCAGATACTAACCCTAACTTGGTGGGTCTGCCGTAATATAAGATAGATCAGAATGATTTATACATGGAAACTACCTGACTCGATCTTCCGCATCGACGTCGGAGCACAAGTATCGACTGCATTTTGATTTTCCGCGCTGCATCTAGTATGTATCATAATATCATGTGGTGTCTCCACCCTTTCTTTCAATCATAGAGTAAGTACGGCTTTCAAAACGTAAATATCTCTTTGTGATGTCACCACCGATCTAGATCACAGGTTAAAGAACTCATCAAACAATTCGATGAGGTTACGTCAACATCGAGAGAATCTCTCAGTTTCCCAGACCATCCGACAGAGATGCCCCAGCTGCCAAAACAGCACGGATCCTCACTGGTCACTCGAACGTACTTTGATGCGTGAAAATCATCTGTTCCTTCGCTGTACTCCCAATTGAAGCTAATGAATAGAGATCCCAAGGGCTTCGAAAGGTAGGATGACCCCGTTTAGGGAGACAGCGTAGGCACGAAAATCGAGCTGAATGTGAGAAAATGGGCTTACTTGGAGTCCCCTTTGAAGGAGGCCCATGGGCCTGGTTATCCTTCCCAAGTCCAACCCCTGCCCCTGGGCTGGAGCCCAATCTCAGCGACCTCTTGCAGGTACAGAGTATCGAATTCCTCTTATCCATTACCAGCACAGATTCCATGCTGCTTTCCTAGTTTTCCTTAGGCCAACTCCCCAAAAACAATTACACGACGATCAAAAAAGGAAATGCACGATTTTTATGTGAACAAAAATACGCAGTTTAAATTCTTTCGTCCGTGCATTTGATGCGGCCCATGATGTGGCTGACAGCGTTGACATGACATGATGAAAAAGGCACGGTGGCACGAGCAAAGAAGATGCCTGCAAGACGAGGAAATATTCGGTGGTTTACTCTCATTATGTCGTATGCCTAGGGGGTGTATATTTTCTGGCGTTGATCCATTAAGAAATTACCATGTGGCGTCTGACATGAAGAAAAGAAAAGTCCTATTATGGAGGCTTTCTCTTCTTTGCGCACCTATTCCCTCAAAGAAAGCTGAGCAAGGCATCTCGTATTAAATGCGAGCATTTATTGCCATCCTCTATTTTCTTTCTTTTTCACGTTTAAATGAGATGTCTTCTTTTACTTGTAGAAACTCTTCTCCTTCTTCCCAGAAAACTTCCCTTCCCTCTTCCTTCATCTTCGCTTTCGTTCTTCGCTTCATCCAGAAATCGCCAGTGAGCTTGGGTTTCCGGCGAAAAGCGGACAACCGGGTCCCCGAGCATCCTCCGCCTTCGCCTCCAACACGTGGCTTGTTGCCTTCGCCTCCACCTCGTGGCCGTCGGCTCTGCTACGTCGCCGTGGCCGTGGGCTCCACTCGTCACCTCCACCTCGTGGCCGTCGCTTCCTCTCAGAGAATATTTGGTGACTGTATATTGCAAACTCTCGCTCTTTGCAGGGCGCAATCCGTGCGTGGTTGTAGAATTTTTCAAGGACAAATTGTGGATTTCTAGGGAAATTGATTATGGGGTGGTGCAGTCTTTTTGCAACAATACCAGAGTTGTAATGTACATTCTGATAAATGTCGGATATGCACTCAATTGGTCATCTTAAACGCATTTGAAAAACAGACTCGCGGAGGCAGAAACCTTATATTGGGTTCTGTGACGTTATGCCTCCCAATTCCTGATATACTGTTCACGTCTTTCTTATGGAAGTGTTGTCTACGTCGACTGCTATCTGCTTTGCTTTTGCTTATTGATTTTCGCCCAATTGTCGGCCTCAGCGGGAAGGCTTCTGCTTGCATTTTCAAAGTCGAAGACTCATCGCTTTGATATTTTTCTAATGAGATGTGCAGAAGCAAACTCGTGGAGCTCATTGCTTCCTAGTGCGGAAACATCATTGAAGCAATGGCTGGTGATCTCAATATCATTCACCATCTATCTTTATAAAGCACTTATTTCTCAATTCCTTTGGAACAATTTCTCAGCCTGGGCTGTACCTTCCCAAGTAATTGTGCCATACAAAAATACAAGATCCTGATTCTTACATTCAATAATACAAGCATCATCACTTGCAGCTTCCATGTATTCGCACCGCAAGATCATTCTAATCCCGCCATTTCTCTAGTTCACTATTAGTTACAAGAAATATCAAACCGCAGCAGGCCTCCCATCTTTTCTAGGATCACTCACATCAGTAAGAGTTCCACGGACGACTCCACAATTCAAGTCCTCGCAACTTTTGCGACCCGAATCGGGCGTGTTTTGTAGACTCTGAACGACAAGCTGAACAATTGCTCCTGCCGCTCTGGCTTCCAACTTATGACCTCTCCCCTTTAGGAAAAGCTTTCGTTCATCCGCAAGCTCAACGCGTGATCACCATCGATGCAGGTGCAGTTTTCGTACAATGCCACATTCGGTTTCAGCTGCAGAATAGGAAAAGGACCAAGAACCTAACAACTTCTAATAGGAATTCAATTGGAAGTTCTTGAATGAATATGGTTGAAACGTACCTGCGGGAGAACCTTGGATACTCAACAGCATCCAATGGTTCCATTCCCAGGACAAAGTGATTTAGGAAAACTTGGGTCACTGCTGGAATTATGTTCATTCCTCCCACTCCCTCCTATGACCCCTGCCAACTGGTTATCCTGCATTCAGTAGATTTGGATTAGAAAACCAAAATTCAAGTTTAGAAGAGACAAAGTTTAGATTTCCTGGAAAAGCTGATAGATGGTGCGTGGGAAAGTTTTCTAAAGAACGCTTGACGTGGTGTCCATTGTACTTTTACTTGCTTAAATTTGATTAGACAAATACGAGATACAGCTAAAATATAAAACAGATTGTAAGCAACAATAAGAAACGTCACCTTGCTTCCGTCAAACCAAAATGATTCAACAAAACTCCACTGTGACCATCCACATTAGCGGAGCGGAGCCGACGGCAACGAGCGGAGCCCACAGCCACGAGGCGAAGGCCACGGTGACGTAGCGGAGCCGACAGCTACAAGGTGGAGGCGGAGGTGACGAGCCACATGTTGGAGGCGAAGGCAGAGGATACTCGGGGACGCAACCGCTCTGCTTCGACCAGCCGTCCGCTTTTCGCCAGAAACCAAAGCTCACCGGTGATTTCTGGAGGAAGCGAAGAACAAAAGCGAAGATGAAGGAGAAGGGAAGGGAAGCTTTTTGGGAAGAAGGAGAAAGAGTTTCCAAAAGTTTCGTTTGCGGAAAAATATTCCCCCAAATTGAACGCAAAATTGCCCATGGGAGGAAAAATATTTTCCATAGGAGAGGAAGTTGATCGCCGGTCACCACCGTTGGCCGCCGGTCGTTGGCCGCCCGCCCGCCGCCAGCCGCCCGCCGCCGCCGGTCCACCGGCCGCCGCCACCGCCGGCGGTCACCCGGCCGTCGCCGCCGCTGCCAGCCTGCGCGGCGGCCGCCGCCGCCGTCGCCGGTGAAAAATGTTTTCTCGAAACTTTTTCATATAGGTCGCCGAACACTGGAAAATTATGTTCCGGGAAAACATTTTCCAGGAAAATGATTTCCGGAAAAATATTCTCCTTTTGGAAAATATTTTTCGCCAAACGAACGGAGCCTAAAAGAAGACATCTCATTCAAACGTGAAAAAGAAAGAGGAGGGAGGATGGCAATAAATGCTTGCATTTAATGCGAGGTGCCTTACTCAGCCTTCTTTGAGGGAATAGGTGCGCAGAGGAGAGAGAGCCTTCATAATAGGGCTTTCCCTTTCTTCACATCAAACGCCACGTGGCAATTTTTTAATGGATCCATGCGAGAAAATATACACCAAGTAGGCATATGATGCGGTGAGAGTAAACCACCGAATATTCTCTCACTGCAAGACACGTTAGCAAAAGCTCGAAACGCCGTTTCTTTGAAAACGTTGTCGTTTTCGATTCACGTAGGTTTCAGGAGATCGTTGTAATCCTTTCTCTATTAATCCATCGCTTTAAAACATCCCGTAGTCACGTCACGTCCCACATCAACTCACTTCGATGGAAAGATTTAAAGGGGATGTACTTTTTACCTCTCGGCTAAAAACGCTCGTGACATTTTTTGGTTCGTTTTACACAGCCATGGCATATTTGTCCTGCAAGAAAAAGTTCATGTATTTTCTTTTTTTTGGTTGAGATTTGGCCCGTTTTTCTTACCTCCTATGCAATTCTTGTGGAGAATTAATAAGTAAAACAAGGAGGGTTGGGCTGAGGAGAGGTTCTATCTGAAGTGATTATTCGAAAAAATTTAGAATCTACGGTTAACCTTAATTAAAAACACGAGAGATGACATCGACAGCAAGTTCGTGGTCCGATACTGATCTCACGCCCACATATTCGTTCGCGAGAGTTCCGGTCTTCGCATGTGAATGCTGGTGTCGTGGCAATGTCACCGTCATCATCAATAATAAGGCAGGAAAGTCAATATGGACGACGAGTTCACATGCAGAGACCAGATTTACACGGTCAAGAATTCGAAATGCAAAGGGTTGTTTCCATGGAGAAGTTGCGTAACCCTTTCGACCATCAAGTCTGAAAAGCGGTGGGTGTTTGAAGAGTCAAGAAAGGAACTGCGTGGGAGGGATGAAGATGAAGATTCTCGACGACGTCAGTCCCTTTCTTGGCCACCGCCGTCGTCATTCTCTCTTCGGAATATTATTAGGGTTCCTTCTTGAGACGATGACTTTCATTCTGCTATGTGGATATACCGCAGTTCAGGATGGCATATGCTCACATAACTCATAGCGCTACTTCTCCATATGGAAGGGACGTGGGATTGTTGCATTACGTGCCATTGTTTTTTGGCCAAATGCGGGCATCAATCGAATACAATTATCAGATACCGACATTTTTCTAATATTTCTTGAGCTCATACAATCATAATACGAAAATGCACGAAATTTCGGTTTGGTTCCGGTTTTGGTTCGTTTTGTGACACCCCTATTCCATGATGCTAGTTTTTCTCTACTAAAAACATAGTTGAGGTAAACACGTGATTATGTTCTGTTTTAGAGTTTCCTCTACTTCCTAAGACGAATACAAATAAGTGTATGCATTTATGTTTGCGCAGCACGCCGTATAGCTTTCATCCCCTATTTCATTAATATAGCCCTGCGCTAGACGGGAAGTCCACCTAGTTTCACGTGTGAATTTCCTCTATAGCCTTTTTTTCTTTATTGGAATCACGAGTTACTTAGTCGAAGTTTTTAAAAATATTTGTAGAATCGCGAGCAAGCTTTTGCGTGTAGTAAGATCACATGCCACTGTGAAGAAGGCCTTTCCATGGATTGAACTTGAGCGTCGCACATGCAGGTTGCTGAGAAGCGAGTTATCGTAGGTCAGCAATGTTAAGATGACCTTCTTTGCTCGCCAAAAGAAAGAACAGGAGAAAAATTAGAAAGAGATGACCTCCTTTCAACTTATGATTGTCTAGGTGCGCCGAGATGGAGAGAGGACAGAGAAAAATGGGATTAGGGTTTTGGTTAGTTCGTATGTAATTTTTCACAAAAGGCAAGCAGTTTGGCTAATTCAAGGTATCCTTGGTGGTGTGACTTAATCGGGATCTTCCATCTGGTTGATAATGGATCGACCATCCAAGGAAATTTAACTCCCTAGATTTAGAGGATCTCAATTTCGAAAAGTAAAATTGTGTGATGTATTCAATGTAAATGAGCAAGTTCATTTATTAACCCGAAAATCAGCCTTAGCAGTTAGTTCATAGATACATATATCACTACAGGCATGCAAGGAAATAATTGTATCGGCAGTTGTTGCTCTCCTATGGTGGTCATGCCCTACCTTAGGCCGAGCTACAATGAGTTGCTGCAAACATGTCCGATCTCGAACATGCGAAACACCTCCAATGTTAAAGTTACCAAACGGAGGAGCTTCCGTATAGGAAAGATGAATCTAGTTCACAAGTAATATAAAATCCTCTTTGACATGCTAAGACGACTTCACAGGGACAACGAGCTAGATGCGAGGTATCTAACGCGGCACGGAGGCTTGCCAACTTGATTCTAATACCATGTCAAAACTAGGAGAACTTTCAACCTAAAGCCGAAGATATCATATGGAGACGAAAACATTTGTGATTTTGGTCTTTTGCATTCTCTCCATGGAATGAATGGCTCACATCACCCACTTTGGTCTTGTAGTACTTTCACGTGGCAAAGTGAACAGCACCGCCCAGAGCAGGTTCTCAGGCTCGCAGTGTACCTCAAGGTCAGTGAAGTTTTTTTGCCCTTATTCTGAACCAAACTTGGGGCCTCTCGTGTCGTCAGAGAATCCTAAGCACCACCTAAATTAAACCAACTTCTCACCCTTCCCCCTCTTTATTAAAATCACCTCGACCATTATCATTATCAGTAGCTGACAAAACATCCACATGTCATTCTTGTTTTCTTCTGCTAAAAAGCTCGTGTTCACCTACTCCCTCAACCCACACGGGGATGTGAAGTCACTCACTGGCCACTTACACTGAACGAGGCTGCAAGTTTAAGTATGACATTATTAAGATATTGATTTCATTTGATGATGGAAGAACATCCTTGTCGTGTTGCCCTAGTTCCGGTTGTTCCACTCATGGGAGGAAATCATGCAATGGAGAGACCGATACATCGAGGTTATTTCCTAACGTCTGTCTGATCAATTACTATCATTTTTGTCATGGTAATTGAACTGAAGATGGCAGCAAAATTAATACGCCGATATCATTCCTGTTCAAATGGTGGCGTATGCCTATGCTTGATTGGCAAGTGATATGACAAGAGTATGTCAAGCGGACAATAGCAGTGTATGAATTGCTTTTTCCCAATTGTGGCTCATATGGATCATTGGAAACCTACACATATACATCAAGTGTATTAATAAGATGAATAAGGAATAAGGCACGAATGGTCCTTGAACTTGAACTCGATGTACAATGTGGTCCCTGAACTTTTAATTTGTTCATGTGTGGTTCATGAACTTTACGCTAATGTGCAATATGATACCCAAACTTTTAATTTTTTCAATATGATCCATGACCTTTTTGTACATATTCAATTTGATCCTTGAAATATATGAACATGTTCAATATTGTCCTTTAATTAATTCAAGTTCAAGAACAACATTGAACATTTATATATAGTCTAGGGACTAAATTGAACATGCACTAAAAGTCCAAGAACCACATTGTACAATCTAAAAATTCATGGACGACATTGCTCATTGGGCTAAAATTCAGGGACCACATTAAACATTGGGTCAAAGTTTATGAACCATTTGTATCATATTCCCGATGAATAATGCGGGTCGACGTGCACAAGTTGTAAGCTGTCTCTAAGGCTTTGTTGGGTAATTGAGGGAAAATGGAATGAATGAGATTTCGAATAGAAAATTTCTAGAAAAAAAAAGGAGAGGGAAAATCATAGAATCGGGGTGTTTTCTTCTCTCTTTCTTCTCCTCCCTCTCATCCGGACACAGCATACATGTCTGGACATTATAAGTTGCAAGGACAAACATACCAAACAGCCCGACTTATTCTACGTGGCAAATCGTGAAAGAACCCACAAGAAACCTACGACATCGACATCAACATGACCATGGTGGTGTGCACGTCAATAATCTTGAAAAATCTACGGTGATCATGTTCGACGAGCGCTCGAAAGGCAGATAAATTTCTACAATCACCAAACGCACTCGACGTGCATTGTGCCAACTCGCCATTGGAGAATTTGGTAGGAAAGGATTGGCAGAACCAACACCCTAGGTTAAAAAAAAGTTTCACGGGCAGTCCAAAATCGACCATCTTTATAATAAAAAGACACTGTTGGAATCTTGCTTATGTGGTCCGGACTCCGTACATCACTGACCTTTTACATAATCGTCCACGTTGCGCAGCATACAAGTAAAATTTACAATTTGCATGGAAAGACTCGAGGGCGGGCGGGGGGAGAGAGAGAATATGACACTCCAAGCCCAATAAAACCATGGCTTCATGGAGTTTAAAAAGATTGCCACTTGCTCCCCGGACAGGATTTTCTTATTAGTTTCGCTGAACGAGGTACAGTGAGACCTTGACTTTTATTTAATTGACAGTGTGGTGCCAAAATTGTCCGAAGCCAGCGGATAAATCCCTTTTTTCAGGCTGCGCAAATTACTTGGCCCCCCTTTATTTAATTAACGCGCATCGTTGCGATCTGTCCTTGTAACCAAATACTGAAAACATCGCAATGCGTTGTGAAATATTGTAAGGCCACACATTTTTTACAATGCGTTTTACCGCATTAACTTATTTTTGGACGTGTAATTACTTCGGCATCCTTGTTCAATCGGCGCATAACGCTACATTCCGTCTTCACAGCTAAAAGCCAAAAAGAACAATGTAATGTTGTACTGAAATTCGATTTTGGCCACGACATTACGATGCCTCGCCTCAATTGAAATATCCAAAAAAATGATTTTTTTTTCTCTATGGTTTTTTAAAATTTAATTGAAGTTTTTCTTATTTTTGTGGGGGGGGGGGTGGCGCCAGAGTGGGACTGAATGGCCGATTAAGCAAATGAGAAGAGCAATGTGTGGGGGCGGGGCGGGGTTGCAAAAATAGTATAGCGGGCAGAGGAGGGCACGTGGTCACATGGGGGAGCTTTTTGGGTCAGTGGAGAGTGGGGTGGGGTGGGGTGGAGGGGAACCAATCAGGTGTTTCTCAGTGCTGTGCCCCCCGCCCCTCCCCTCAGGCCGTCCGCATCAATCACAGCTGGGGGACTCTTCTGTTGCGCCCAGCTGTCATTTCACTACTGGTGGCAACGAATCTCCCTCCCTCCCTCCCAGACACCACATTGTAAAAACACATTCATATAACGCTTTTTTATATTAATATAACGAAAAACTTCAAGTTTGTACGTCCGCGATAATTTTACTTTTCATCACAAAATATTTTAAACTGATATGCCCATAACAAATTTACCCAAAAATTAATATTTTGATCACTAAAAATCCCAAATTTGTACATTTGTGATAAATTTACCTTCTGCTAGCTTCCGTTAAATTGAATTGATACCACAAAAAATCACAAACCGGTACACCCGTAACAAATGGAGGGTAAAATATAAAACCGGTACATTAGTTAACTGTCGTGTGTTGACAGTAAAATTTAACGGAAACAAACTAAGGGTAAATTTGTCGCGAGTGTACCAGTTTGGAGTTTTTGGTTGTCAAAAAATTAGTTTGAGGTTTTTCGTGGTATTAACCCCTTTTTTTTTTGTTACCTGCACTATTGTGTTACTGTTGAAAAGACTATAATGAAAATAAATGAACGAAAAATAATTTTATTATACTCGAAAAATATTTAGATATATATTATTATCGATAACGAAAGCGTTCTTTATTGATTAATTATTTGGAACAATGCAAGTCATCATCTCTTAGAAAAATATTTTTCGAATCGTCTATTTTTCGCGAAACAAGCATAGCTTTAATTTCGTGATTAAATTTTCTCGTGTGCCAGAGGCTATTGCTTTCACGACGGGGGCTAAGCAAAAGTGCGCAAGACTTTGAGTTAGGATGATTCAATTCGATAATCACGTAAGGCGTCGACTGTTTCGAATTGAAAATCAGGTAATACGGCATAAGTATCGAAATCCTAATTGAGTTTTTCATTTTTTTATGTGCTTCTTTCTATTTTTGATGGAAAAAATGATGTAAAATGTACTTGTAATATGACTCTATACTATTTAATTATAATCTGACCCTCTAATATACTTTTAAACGCAGAAAGAAAAGGTCCGACAAAAAAAAAACCGCAGAAAAAAAGGGCAAATGCGAGTATTTCTAGCCGAGTCGAGTTCGACCGAGCGAGAAAAAAGTACTCGACACATACAGTGTTACATACTTAAAATAGAGCCGAGCTTGAGTAACCCTAGTTCTGTATCGAGCTTCAATTTCAGCTAGAGCCCGATACCGTGTCGCCTCGACTCGACTCATCTCGATTTCTCTATTTTTTCGACGATTATCGTTTTCAATTAATTTAACGAGAAATTAAATTACGGCATTACAACGTTCCAACTCCCATTTTATCATTGTTCACGGCCCTTTTTTTTTTTTTGATCCAATTGTTCACGGGTTTAGACGTCTCTAGTTATATGCGAAAATGGGACGAGCAAACTAAGACGGACCACCTCAAATTAATAATCTCCGGGCAAACCAAGGAAAACCCAAGTCCCAATAACAATATTCTCTGAATTTAGAGCATTATTAATCTACCGAAATTATTAAATAATGCACCGAATTTTCCATTTTTTCGAAAATTGCCATTAAGGGGATGAATCTACTTAATTATTATTGACTTGACCCAAAAAAGAAAACTTTAATATCGATCTCATTAATGTGCAAATCTATTTTGATTAACGAATATCGACTGAATGCGATCATCATCATACGAATATGATTGTTGGGCATTCAGGGTATTCGATCATATGATCCCCCACATCACGGAAGAGAACTAAATTAAATCTTTTATTTCCTCAATGAGAAAAATAATTTTCCTAAAAAAAAAGGAAGAAAAAATGAAGGAATTGCGATCCATCCGAACATGCCAAACTGGGATTGCTACTCTACAGCCATGACAATTGTTGAACTGTCCGAACATCCCGATTCCTTGTCCGATATGTTCCAAAATTCAACCCAACATTAGCAACAAAACAAACGAGGAAAATAAAAGTCGACAAAAAGGGATTAAAAAAAAGGGTTTAAATTTAGGGTTAATACCACAAAAAACTTCATACTAGTATACTGGTGATAAATTTACCCTTCGTTAATTTCCGTTAAATTTTACAGTTAAATTATTGAGTTAGACGATACGTAACAGTTGGCGGGTTTACTAGTTTGGGGTTTTACCCTCCGTTTATCGCAGGTGTACCGGTTTGTGATTTTTCGTGGTATGAAGGAATTGCAATCCATCCGAAAATGCCAGCCTGGGATTGCTACTCTACAGCCAAGACAATTGTTGAACTGTCCGAACATCCCAATTCCTTGTCCGATATGTTCCAAAATTCAACCCAACATTAGCAACAAAACAAACGAGGAAAATAAAAGTCGACAAAAAGGGATTAAAAAAAAGGGTTTAAATTTAGGGTTAATACCACAAAAAACTTTATACTGGTACACTGGTGATAAATTTACCATTCGTTAATTTCCGTTAAATTTTACTGTTAAATTACTGAATTAGACGATATGTAACAGTTGACGGGTTTACTAGTTTGGGGTTTTACCCTCCGTTTATCGCAGATGTACCGGTTTGTGATTTTTCGTGGTATAAAGGAATTGCAATCCATCCGAACATGCTAGCCTGGGATTGCTACTCTACAGCCAAGACAATTGTTGAAATGTCCGAACATCCCAATTCCTTGTCCGATATGTTCCAAAATTCAACCCAACATTAGCAACAAAACAAACGAGGAAAATAAAAGTCGACAAAAAAGGACAAAAAAAAAGGGTTTAAATTTAGGGTTAGTACCACCAAAAACTCCATACTAGTATACTGGTGATAAATTTTACCCTTCGTTAGTTTCCGTTAAATTTTACTGTTAAATTGCTGATTTGGACGACACGTAACAGTTGACGGATTTACTAGTTTGGGGTTTTACCTTCCGTTTATCGCAGGTGTATCAGTTTGTGATTTTTCGTGGTATTAATCCAATTTAATGGAAATTAGCGGAGGGTAAATTTATCACCAATTTAGGATTTTTGGTAGTAAAAAAATTAGTTTGGAGTATATTTGTTACATGTGTATTAGTTTGGAGTTTTTCGTGGTATTAACATTTAAATTTATCGTGGGTTGTAAACTAGACAATTACTTTGCGTGTGAGTGCTTATATATATAAATTAAGGAAGTGCCGACTAAATTTCCCAAAAAAGAATATCCAATTGAACAACACGTTAATGTTGCTTAAATTGCACGGGACCAATTTTGCCGGAGATTAGAACGTGATCAAGAAAATTGGACGCCTACAATCCTGGACAGCATGCCACTTTGACATTTTAACTTCTTTCTGTCGTCACAATTTTTGCTGCGAGAGAAGAAAAAAAAAAACCAAACATGTCGAATGTGGAAAAGGCAAACGGGGAAGTGCAGCACACGTCAAAGCACATTGTATCTTCGCTTCTAATTCATCCTTCGAGGACATAATTATAACAAACAAATACATAATATTAGTGATTTCTCACTTTAGTTCCGAAATTTTTTTTAAAATTACATTAACTTTTTCTCGATTTCATTATATACCCTTTCAGTTTTGGGATTTCGAGGGGACGGGGAAAATGCCGATCACCAGTGAGATAAGAAGAAGGTTTAAATCGCGCCGTCACGGCTCTAAGTAAGGGCTAAGTAAAAAGTTTACATTAGGACTAATGTATCATTATTAGTTCCCTAATCCATCCAATTAGGTGCATCAGACCTACTGCCTTCCGACCAAACAAAATAGATGCAAACGTAGGTGAATATTCCCCAAGGCAAAAAATTAAAATAAGGAAAAAATGAAAGATCTTATTGTTCTTTGCTTGCCACCTGTTTCCAAGTCACATCGCGCTTTCCCCATCGAGAAGTACGCACACGAATATCACCCAACTGGAAAGAAAAAAATCAATCTCTTTTAAGGAAATAAACGGGGGCAACTTTCGAAATCGCAACTGATGATGGTTTAACACACGAGGCAATGCCCATCCCGATCCCTTGACCATGCATACCATGCTTTTGTCATATGCTTTGGTAAGGTGCCATAAATGTACTTTACCCCTCGGGGTCTACCTCCCATGAGCTCATTCATGCTCTAAGTAGTAGTCGGCCCGAAGAGCGCGACCGATCGGCCCGACCTGGTTCCAAGAATTGCGTCGAGAAGGGATCGAACCCGAGACCTCCCCTCTCTCCAAATGCCAAGTACTCGAGTAATTCGATTTCCATCCCGGTCAATATCGAACGATTTCACCCATAGAGAGACGAATACAGAGCCAAATCCTCTGTCTCTCTCTGTTCTCGTCCTCGTAAGGACCATACACGTAAACGGCGACAGGAACGAAGTTCAGTCATTTTTATGGCGAAGTAAAAAACTGTGTTTGGCCTCTTTGACTCATCCCTTCCCTTCCCTTCCCTTCCCCTCTTCCTCCACCTCGCCATAGCATTGACTCCTCTCTCTCTTCTCTCTTCTCTCTTCTCTCTCAACAACAACAACAAGAAGGAGAAGCAATGCTGGCTCCAGTCGAACCCCATTCTTTATAAGCCGCAACCATCGCTGTCTCCTACCCCGAGAAGACCCTCCTCCTTTACCTTGCATTCTTGCAATTTCTTCTTGATCCCTCCCCCCTCCCGAACGTGCCCTCCCATGGGCACTCCTCTCCTCCTCCTCCTCCTCCTCATCTTCTTCCTGGCCCTGTCGCCCTTATGCTCCGCCATCCGCTCTTTCCCGGCGGCGGTGGCCGACGTGCCCCGGTTCGCCGAGGCCCCCGAGTACCGTAACGGCCGGGGCTGCCCCGCCGTGTCCCCGGCCTCCTCCTCCTCCTCCTCCTGCGACCCCTCGCTCGTCCACGTCGCCATGACCCTCGATTCCGAGTACCTCCGCGGCTCCATCGCCGCCGTCCACTCCGTCCTCCGCCACGCCGCCTGCCCCGAGAACGTCTTCTTCCACTTCGTCGCGGCGGAGTTCGACCCGGCCAGCCCCCGGGTCCTTACCCGGCTCGTCCGCTCCACCTTCCCTTCCCTCAACTTCAAGGTCTACATCTTCCGGGAGGACACCGTCATCAACCTGATCTCGTCCTCCGTCCGGCAGGCCCTCGAGAACCCGCTCAACTACGCCCGCAACTACCTCGGCGACATCCTCGACCCCTGCGTCGACCGGGTCATCTACCTCGACTCCGACCTCCTCGTCGTCGACGACATCCGCCGCCTCTGGGACACCCCGCTCCGCGGCTCCCGCGTCATCGGCGCCCCCGAGTACTGCCACGCCAACTTCACCAAGTACTTCACCGACGCCTTCTGGGCCGACCCGGTCCTGTCCCGGGCCTTCGGGTCCCGGGACCCGTGCTACTTCAACACGGGGGTGATGGTGATGGACCTGGCGAGGTGGCGGGAGGGGGGCTACCGGAAGCGGATCGAGGGGTGGATGGAGGTGCAGCGGCGGCGGAGGATATACGACCTGGGGTCGCTGCCGCCCTTCCTGCTGGTGTTCGGGGGGAACGTGGAGGCGATCGACCACCGGTGGAACCAGCACGGCCTCGGCGGCGACAATGTGAGGGGGAGCTGCAGGTCGCTCCACCCAGGACCGGTGAGCCTCCTGCACTGGAGCGGGAAGGGCAAGCCGTGGGTGAGGCTGGACGAGAGGAGGCCGTGCCCGCTGGACCACCTGTGGGAGCCTTACGACCTGTACAGCAGGACGGGCAGCATATTCGGGTTCGGTTCGGGTTCGGGCTCTCCTTCTTCAGGGAGCGCATTGATCGGGTACACGAGCTACTTGTGGTGAAGGAGACTCGATGATGACGACGACGACGACGATTCTTTGGATCTTACATTATCTTCTTCTTTCTCTCAATACATTGTTCAGATTGATTGGCGATTCTTTGATAGGTGTTTGTACAGATTGAACGGCGATACCACTAGGAAAGGATGAAGAACACAAAATCTCTTTTTTGTCTTCTTCTTTTCTCCCTTTTTTTTTGGTTGTCTGGTGGGGAGGGGTTGGAGAGAGGATTCCATTTGTTGTGATCATTATTTTCCAATCTTTTTTTCTTTTGGGTTTTAGGTGGGACAATCGATGATTCTTACAGCTCTTTCATCTTCTTCTTCTTCTTCTTCTGTCGTCGTCTTCGTCGTCTTCGTCGGCGATTACTACATATTGTTTAGATTACCATTTGGATTCACAAATTTTGGAGGAGGATGAGGAATAACAAACACCATGTTGTTTCTTTCTTTCGTTCTTTCTGTGTTGTTTCTTGTGCTGCCCTTCCTTTCTTTTCAATTTAATTTTTACAGGAATTTTGTTCTTTTGGGTTTCTTGATGTTTGAGTTTGGTGAAGTCCCCATCAATACTGACACCGTGACACCACCCTCCCACATCTCTAGTGGTTGGCTTTTGGTCTTTTTGCGCTCTGGTGGCAGCAAAAATAATCAAAGCCGCGCTCTGTTTCTGGACAGATCACCACCGCCACCCGCCACCACTCTCATTTTCACGATCATCAATGAACGAACCCTTTTGAAAAAATAAAAAAGAAAACAGAAAGAAAATAATAGTCGGGCAAGTTGGGAAAATCAATTCGACAGCTACTTTGTCCACGTCCATGGCTCTCCTCACGAATTGAAAAAATTGAAAAATGAAAAAAAAAACCCAGGAAAATATAAATTGAAAAAATAATTGGTCCCAGCCAGCGCGCACCACTCACGGGTTTCCCTCGGGGGCCTCAGAGATTCCTAAACCCAACACCTTTGCCCCCTAAATTACCACAGCACAGCACGGCTTGAATTAAAAAATATTATTCGAATCATCAAATGTTCTTTTCGGCCCAAAAAATAAAAATAAAAATTAATAAATTATCGAAATGTTGCTATGAATTAAAAAATGTTGTCACGATATTCGTAGCTGTTGCAATGTCCACGGTATCTTTTGCTTTTCTTGTACAAGTTCGCCACGCAAAGCGATTGGTTCTGGAAAAGCCTCGTAAGGAGAGACCCTTCTTCATACTCTCGGCTACGGGCTCTGTAGCTTTGCTAGTTGTCCACGTGGCGCGCCGAGGAGGGTTCCGCCGCCGCCGCATGTTCACGTGACGACCCATGACTCTTTCGCCCGGTCGACCGGACCGGACCGGACCTGACATCATCGGGCTCGGCGTGGAGCGAATCGAGAGGCCGGAATCGAATTGATTCGCCCCTCGCGGCGGCGATGATCGGGTTTCGACCGGGAATGAACGATGACGATTCCGCCGGGTCGAACGTGGCGTGGGGTTAAAGACGGTAAGAAGCGGGAGAGCCGGAGGCTTGTACTTGGGTCTTGACTGAACTGGATTTGACTCCAAGCAAAGGCTCTTTTAATGGGGGATCTCCGACGAACCCGAAGCAAAAACTTCAATGGCACGTTGGAGATATTTGGAAAAGCCTTTTCCCGAAAATATAGTAAATAAATAGATAAATTTTTGATTTTTTTTGCCCATTTGGTCTTCGTAGCAATGAAAAGTCAAACGAGAACTCGCAGAAAAGCTCCAGCTCCAGGTCCACGATATTCCTCTCTGGCTTAGTTTCTAAAGCAACAAGAAGAAGCGAGCGTCGACATCATGCCAGCACTCGAGATGGATTGAGCACTGCTATGTCGGACCGAATGAAAAGTTGCGACGTATTAGGTTATCGAGCATGCTCCGGTTTTGAATTAAGAAGTGGAAAGATCGGCAAAATTTTGACCGAACCAAACTGATAAGTCCCTATATGCCAAAGAGGTTAATCAGATCTAATGGATTTTCTAGATGATGATGCTTTGATAAACTCTTCATGTTGTACCTCCCCCACCCCTCAAAAGAAAAAAAGAGGAGTAAAAAAAAAATCATATTTTTCCTTTTGCAAATTAAATGGGCCCACCGCCCATCCGGGGGAAACTTGGGAGCGAGGCAAAAACAACTTTTCCATTACGTGGAGACATAATTACAAAAAATGACCTCGGACCATTAGAAAAGCAAAGTGACTCCTGATTTTTCCAATATAAAGTAGCGCAAAAGCCATAAAAACAATCTTAATTTGTGCTGGTCACGACACGTGTACCCTAATCCTTTTTTCTGTAATACCAAAAATCCCAAACTCGTATCTATGTGATATATGTACCCTCCGTAAAAGTTCTGTTAATGAAAACCGTTAAAAATATACCTACGTGAATGCCAGAAAGCAAATAGTGTTGACACGGCGCCCGCGTGGCTTGTTTTGGCTAAAAATTCATCTAACGGAACCTTGACGGAGGGTAAATGTGTCATGTAGGTACATGCCTAGAATTTTTTATGTCACAATAAAAAAGTCTAGGATAAATGCGTCGCCATGGGTACAATTTAGGGTTTTTGTGTCACGACGACTGATTAGCCTCCTGTTGAAGATAAATGTGTCGCAATGAGTTTAATTTGGAGTTTTTTGAGACCTTTTCCCTTTAAAGTAACTAAAATGGGCTAAAAAAAATGGATAAAGAGTTAATGGAGCCCATTTACCTGTAATCGGGTTGACTATGACCCACTTACAGGCCCAAAAGAATAAGCAACAGCACGAGTACGGGATTTGTCTTTGCATGTGTAGTCAACGGAAGGAGAAACAAGAGGCTAAAAGTCATCCAGCGAGAAAGCTCGGGGCTAGCCCGGTTGGGCCCAAATCCAAGCCCGGCCCATCATTGAAGATTTGGATGATGAGCAATTTAAGATGGACAGGCCTAGGGCACAAGTATTAGACCCAACTTTAATCCAACCAACGATCACCACTAGTGATGTTAATGTATGCGATTAATCATCCTACGAGGCTATAACAAAACGCTCGCTCGCTCTCTCGCTCGGTTTGGCGGGTTATAGTTCCTCACGCGTCACGCCCATACCGAACATTTCGTCGCTAGAGATGGCAAATAGGTCCATAAAGTGTGCTAGGCGAGTTGTACATACGGTTTTTTTTTATCTTATACAAGCAGGTCGAAGTGCGCTTAATTAAAGCAAAGCAAAGCCAAGTAGGATATGGGGCCAAAAGCTTCAATTAAGGATTTGGAGATAGATCCCTTAACCCCAACATTGGATACTAATCAGGATTATACAGAGAATAACTCTAATCCGGACTTAACCATACCTAAGATATGAGGCACAATGCTTTGTTTGCACTTCGTGGGCTGCTTAAAAATGGGTCCGAGTGAATCTGGGACGGACGCATTTTTCCATCTAGTTTGATCGAGGACTAGATTTCTGCAAACTTAGAATGGCTGAGATTCACAGAATTCAAAGCTAACCCTAGTATCCGGAAAAAGTCCTTTGACACAATTAATGAGTTCGGCTGAATACGGGTTCAATAAAAAAGCTAAACGGGTTTAGAAGAGGAAACCGGATCAATCTATTCGTAACCAAACCCATGCCACTTCTACCGGCGCTTGGGCTCGAGACTTTCACGACCAAACTTTTAAGTTCCTAAGTCCTAATCTAGACCTCGGTCCCCACGACCGGAACACACCCCCTTGCAGCCGGACCTGGGTCTTGGGAAATCGGATTTAGGTCTCTAGTGGCCAGACCCCAGTCCCCTAAAAAGCCAAGTTCACTAGCTAACATTCATGTTACAGATTATACAAGGTTAAATTTGAAGGCAATTTCAAGGCGTTTTTTTATGGTGCCACAGGAGATCGCCGGATAAACTAGACCTCATGTCAATTAATGGATGAAAGAGCGTCCTTCGATATCGGATTGAAAAGAGCGTAGTGTCACCGGTTAGATGGATCGCAATAAAATGGTAGGTCGAAATCTCATTGCACCGCAGAAAATCCCCTGTTTCAGTCCATGGTCATTTGCGAGGAGACCTCAGTGGTCAGAAATTTGATCCCGACGCACAGAGAATTTGTACTTAGACTCGGCCATTGTTGGCTGCAAATCCATGTTCATGCTATATGTGCGTAACCACGAGCAGAGAAAGGGGGGGTGGTTCTTTGGATGGCGACACTACTCTCGCGATCACGTTCTGATGCCCCCCCAACGACGTCGCTTTTGGCATTTGGACATTTCCTGACAATTATTATTATTTGTTCGTTCTGGTTCAACCAAAGGGTGCGCATGACAATGTTTCTATGCCGGGGAACTATTTCTACTCAGAAATGGTTCTTTTTTATTCTGTGCCCGGAAACAATTTCTAAGCATTTGAAGGCGTTTGGTAACTGTCCAAAATTTTTATGCCTGGGATAGAAAAGAACAGAAATGCGTTTGGTAACTACACAAAATTTCTTTTTATTAATAATATTTTAATAATATTTTGAATTGTTTAATATTTTTTTTTCTTTCTACCCATTCTCTTCCTTGGCCATAGCCGGTCGCCGGCGACCGGCCACAGCCCAGGGCCGGCGAGGGCGAGGGTCCCCCTTGCCGGCGAGGGCGAGGGCTAGACCCTCGCCGCTTGGGCGAGGCGGCTCGCCGTCGGTCATGGCGAGGTCGGCCTCGGCCGTGGGTCGCGATGGCGAGGTCGGCCTCGCCCGCCGGCGGCTCGCCGTCGGTCATGGCGAGGTCGGCCTCGCCGGTGGGTCGCGACTGGCGAGGCTCGGCCTCGCTCGATCCGGGCGAGGCCCGACCTCGCTCGATCCGGGCGAGGCCGACCTCTCCATGATGACGGACGAGCCGCCTCGCCCGGGCGAGCGGTCCGGCCCTCGCCTTCGCCGCAAGGGGGACCCTCGCCTCCGCCGGCGAGGGCCGTGACGCCCTCGCCGACCCTGGGCTGTGGCCGGTCGCCGGCGACCGGCCACAACCTAAGAACAGCAACACAAAAAGAAGAAAAGAAAAAAAAGAAAAAAAATTGATTCTCAAAATTGTGTCGAGAAACAAGAAGTAACTTTTTTTTACTTCTTGTTTCTCTTCCAAAACTATTTGTGGACATAAATTTTTGCAAAAATGTGCTCGAGAACAAAAAGTTTACCAAACGTATTTTTGTTCTCAAACTATTTTTGAGAACAAATTAACAAAATTTTTTACTGTTTGACACATTATCAAACGCCTTAATGGAAAGACCTTGTCACATGCGCCTTCCCTCTCTCCCTGTCTCTCAGACCGTGTCCCGCAGACACCCTGTTCAAGAAAACTTTTTCTAGGTGGGCCTTCGCCTGGCTACATGCTTTGATTGCTGATCTCATCATCACCTTCTGGTCTCTTTGAACTCTGGTGGGGGATGCTTTGATCTGACTGCAGTTATGAGCCTCAGAAAATGGTTAATGAACAGTAGCCTCCATCCTTCATTTTACCAGTCAGTCCACTTTTGATCCCACATTGACCCAACTAATCTCACTGTTTATGTCCCAATGATGGGTCTTTCCATTCCATTGCCGTAACTTTTCTCCTCTGGGCTCGACATTGAACTCTCCCAGTCCAACTTTTCTCAGTTCCAAAAGCAGTGATTGCAAGATCACAGTGGAAAAGGTTGAAACTTTCCTTTGAAACCTAGTTGGGTTGGGGCCTTTCTCCTACCCTTTTTAACGGTTTCTTTCTCTGTCTCTCTTTACCTTCATCATGGGTTTTCACTTTTTGTGTAGATAGATGATAGAGCTTGTCATTTTGGGAGTTTCCAGAAGAACCAGAAACAGACAACCCCTTCTCAGGACTGTGAAAATGACAAGAAGCAATAGAAACGAAAAGGAGCACATGCTTATGCTATCCTCATCTCTTTGTCTTCTGAATGGGTTGCGGTTTTCAATCCTCTCCCTTTTGTCCTCGTCCTGAAAGGCTCATAACTTGGTCTCTCACAGTCTCTGAGTGGATAGATTGGTGAACTTCCCAGCTGGGCTACAGGTGGCGATGGTTTTTGCACAGCTTGTGTGGCTGGTGACATAGCTCTGTGGTAAAATTATACCTTCGCTAAGGTACGGTTTCTTCCTCTTTTGGATCTGTGAAAATGACTCCCATTTACTCTGTTTGATGAAATTGATTTTATTTTAATGCGTGTGCTGGTACTTCATAGTTGGCTGCTCATGGTTTTTATGCCCTGTTCTAAAGTTACTTTAGTTGGAAATGGTCAATGATATTGGGATTAGGTGTCTGAAAATAGTGTGTGGTTCTTGATCTTCGTGAAAGCAGATGGGAGAGACAACAGCTGCTTCGAATGCTGCTCTTGAAGTGTCGGTTTCATTTGGTAGGTTTGAGGGTGATTCGCTCTCTTGGGAGAGATGGTCGACCTTTTCGCCTAATAAATATATGGAAGAAGCAGGGAAGTGCGCGACGCCCGGATCAGTGGCCATGAAAAGGGCTTACTTTGAAGCCCATTACAAGAAGATCGCTGCTCAAAAGGCTGAGTTACTGGATGAGGAGAAGAAAATGATGGATGATTCGTTGCGAACGGGTGAAAGAAATGGAGATCTGGATAGGGATGCTGATGAGGCCACTTTTGAGATCAATACACACGAGGATCAAGGTCACTCCGGAGGAATTAAGCAAGAGATGAGCTTGTTAGCCGAGACAAATGGTTTGTACAGTGAAGACCCGAACGAGGATGACTTGATTACTATTGAATGTCAAAGCTCGTTGGCTGTAGGAGTCCAAGTAGAACAGGAGATAAATCTCGAAATCACCGACTTGGGTAAAGCAGAGGAAATTAACTCCGTGAAGGAAGTGGTGGAAGTGCATGACAACATGGAGAGACCAGAAGAACACACTTTAGTGAAGGATGTGCAAGAAGTGGTTCCTTCTATTGGATCTCAAGATGATGTTAAGGAAGTTCAGCCACATTGTGAAATCGAGACAAAAGCCACTCTAAAGTATGAAGTGAAGAGTGCAAAATTGAATAAGCCAAAGCTCCCTCAAAAGGTGAAATAAACAAACTTTCTTGACCATCATTGAAGGATCTTGATTAGAATTGCTTTGATCATACTGCCGGTCCCCTTTCTTTGTCTGGTCCAGGTTAGCGATGCATGTAAGGAGCAGAGCACTGCGGTACGTAAGAAGAAGCCACAGTCACCAGTGATGAAATCCCCAAAAGTGACCACCCCTCGACAGTCGAGGCCATCGGCTTCCACTACCCCAATAACATCCTCATTGAGATCTTCGAGAAAGCCAGGAATTAGTCCATCTCTGCCCAAGAGCAAGAACCTTTCAATAGGAGACAAGAAAAATGCAGTTCCTAAAGCCTTGCACATGTCGATTGCTTTGGGTTCCACAAATTCTCATCCAGCTTCTCCCGCCACAAGGAAATCTTTCATCATGGAGAGGATGGGGGATAAGGACATTGTCAAGCGAGCATTCAAGATGTTCCAGAACAATAATGTGGGCCCGAAATTGTCCGGTGAAGAATCAGAGCAGGTAAGTTTTCTGATGATTTTGATCTCTCTCATACGACTCCTTTGTTGGAACTTGGAACTGATGATTATTATTGTTCAAAATCCTGTTGTTTGTAACATACAAAGCACATTGGTTCTAACTTTGGCAGGTGCTTTCCAGGGAGGGAGAACCAAAGGCTTCCATTCCCCTAATCAAACAGAAGGAAAATGGACGGTAATGATTTAATAACATTCTCCATGCATATTGCCCCAATTGCATCCAACCTTTTGTCTGAATCAATGCACATGATATTTTCTGACAGATGCTAAACTTTTCAGGTTGCAACTTTACTCTCTAATGCTGTTTAAAGTATTCTGCCTGCATATTTTTTGCTCAATCAATTGCAGTTACTTATTATAAATATAGAATCTAGATAACCAAATTCTTTCATGATATATTGCGTGCCTAAGGAGCAAGGTTTTAACTTACTAGTATATCATTAACATCTATCTCATATATCATTCTTCAGGCCACTTAAAACAGGGAGTGCGGCACAAATAGCTTTTCAGCCTGCGTCTTCTTCCTATGGTTCCAGAAGTGATGAGAGGACGGGAAAGGTTACAGAGGTTCCACTGGTATGGATCATTTTATCCTTTTAGTCTGAAAATGTTTCTTTTGTATCCTTTACAGGCTTAAATTTTTCTCCTCATCTTCTTTCAGTTTATGAAGAAGCTGAAGGAAAGATCCATGGCTGTCGATAAAGGGAAGCCGCAATTTCAGGAAAAATTAAAGGTATAAACAACATATCTATTTGGGTTTGCGCATTTTTTACATCATGGAATTTGCAAAAGATTTAGCATAACATTCTCTTTAAAGATCACATCAGTACAACAAGATTGCTATTCCTCAGGAAGAAAAGAAGGCAGAGCACAAAAACTCAAGACCCAGTATCACCCAGAGAGGCACGCACATATCAGGTCAGCCAGGGCATAGTAAATTGACAAATGGCCTGAAAAAAGGTACAGTCTTTCGTTTTAATCCGTCCAAATTGTTTGAGATGGTGAAGTGCTTACATTATAAATAGAGTTCAGTTACGTATCTTGGAGGAGAGCATATAATTGCGAAGGAACAATGTTTCTCAATTGTCTAGACTGAATGGAGCAGATTTTCTGTCTGAGCATAATATGTTTATATCATGAGTTATTATTAGATACATCTGTGTCTAGTGTTGACCGGAGAATGCTGAGGGAGGGGTAAAAGGAAGTCATTCTTCTTGTCATTAATTTTGGTACATCTTCATTTACAAATGAGCTTAAGAGTGTTTGATATGATGCTACCAACTGTCAACTCTTCCAGCGCAAACCGGCTAATTCAGAAGCAGGAATTAAAGTGCTCTAGTAACTGCGGTTCTTCATAAGCCTTTCGGCAGTGTTATATCTGGAAGAGAGACAAGAATGCAAAAGCACGACAATTTCATATAGCGTGACTTTATTTTCGCTGTTGATCGTGTACCTTTGCTTCATTCGTCGACATTTTTATTGTGGCAATAGCATTGAAAATTGTTTATTCAATTTTACAGGTGGTTAACAAGGCTGAAGTTCAATGATTATTCGATAAGGATGCTTGAGGAAGGGTGCCGCAGACGCGTGTCTGATTGGAGTACTTAAGAGGCATTCTGGTAGAAATATCCAGAGACTCAATGGTGTGTAAAGTTAGCAGATCACCTTCAGTCATTTATGAGACAGGAGGAGCTTGGAATTAATGACTAGAGAGACACCCATATAATAGTCTCGATTATGGTGTGGGAAGATATAAGCAGTGTTGAGTTTATGGTAAGGTAGGTCGGATGTCTCCTGAGATGTTGCATTTTTTCGCTCTCTATCATTACACATATAAAGAGTGATTGTCTCAGAGAAACTTTTATTTATAGAATTCATCTGAGAATCTGTGAAAGGCGTACGAGTCTCTATAGCCCCTGTGGCTTCAATTACATAGGACTAGTCTCAAGTTTCTTTACTTTATGTTGGTGACTCGTAGTGTTTGCAGAAAATGTTGCTTGCGGTTTTACCTTCTTTAAAGGTCTTAAGCAAATGAAGATGCGTATTTTTCACGAGATTGGTAGAGAGCATAAGTTTAAGATAGCAAACTCGTGGAATGTGAATGCTTAATACCGTCGATTTGAACATACCTTTTTTTTTTTCAGAGTAAATTTTGCCTTAGAGAACTTCCATTTGTGTATCTTAGGTTGGAAGCACAACTCTCACTTCCTTCCTCGACCCTCCTTAATTCTTTCAAATGGATAACTTTTGACATACCATGCTCTGAACGGGATACATAGTCCGGCTTCCATCTTGTTCCTGTCAAAAACATGATTGTGTTATCGCTCTCTTGAAAGTGCAATATGGTTTGGAGTTTTAGGATCCTCGTAATCTAGTGAATCAGACACCCGGAAACCGTCGAATTGGTGTGCTCTGAATCCCGTCTTCCATGCAGATCTCACTTGATCCGACAATTGGAAGACAAGTTGTAGAGCTCATGTTTGGTTTCGGGCAAAAGTAAGGTCTTTTCACGGGCTATTCGGTTTCTCCAAATTTTGTTTCCTCCGGTATATATCTCGAAGGAAATGACTGCATGTTCTTAGGTGTTTCGCATGCTTTTCTTTTGCACGACTTTATTAATGGAGGCAATTTTTCTTTCGTTTGCTCATCTCATATCCCGCAACAGTCGAATCAACACCTTTCTTGGAACTGGATCTTCTATGGAGATCCTCCATCATGAGCACCGAATGATCAGAATAAAGATTCTTTTGAAATAGTTTCTGGGTATGTCACATTTCAGAATCTGTGAAGCGCGAACGGATCTCAGGAATTGAACGTTCTCTTCTGCCAAAACAAAGCAATAATATCACTCGTGGAACGTGCACAAAAGAGAACCTTCTCCTCCAATCGTCTTGGACTAAAGAATAATGAACAAGCTCAACAATTGTATCCACCACGCGCACTAACTCCTCAAGTGACGTAAAAAGACAACATTGCATCAGCAAGTGTGACGAAAAAAACTGATATACACGATCATATTTACCAATAATTGGGAAAGAATATGATGCGAATGAAAGAATGCTCGACGCGTCCTCGTATAGTACAGTTTCTATGATGCCTATACACTCTAGCTTGTTCCCTTTCAAAAACAAGCCGAATCAGAAATCTGTATCGGATTCGCTAGACGTGCTCCGGGACTTCTCCGACAGGAAATGTGATGGCAACTTTGGGAACCTCACGGGGGGTCTTGTTGCAGGAGATGTTGGCGACGATGACCCCGTGCTTGGCGCTGCCGTTTTCCTCCTCTGCTGGTTTCGAGCAATTTCAACACACGCCTGATCGACCATGTTCAGGAAATCCTTAACAATAACAAACAGCTGAAGTGGGTTTGCTCCTTTGTCCTTTGAGGCCCCTGCTTGGTAGTACTCAGTTGTCTTCTTCACCATCGCCGTCACAGCTGCCCGATCTTTCCTCATGGCACTCAATTCGTTCTCGGCGGCTTTGAGAAATCCTTGCATTACTCTCACGAACCCTCCTCCGTCCCTTGTACCTTGAGACAGGAGTTGCCGGATTTCCTCTATACGGGACGTGAGAGCTGCACATGTGGCAGCAAAGGTTTCATAGTCAATTGCCGCGGCTTTCTTCACGTAAGAGAACTCGGCGCTGAGACCTCCTACAATTGGCAATCCTAACATCATGTACTCCTTCTCTCTTTCCTCTCTCGATGTCCGATTCTCAGGATTTGTGTTCGCACTGCTGCTCTGGCTGCTGGTGCGGCTCAAGCTACGGTTCCGGTTGGCGACGCAGCGTTTCCCCTCTGCTCGGACCACTTCTTCCACGACAAAGTGAAGCAAGGTAGTCTTTCCGTCCGTGCTTTTGACATCGGAGAGTTTTCGCAAAGAGTTAAGGTTGAAGGCTTGTGCATTTCCTCGGGAAGTTCCAGCATTCATGTGATTGCCGGCCTTAAGGATCGCTTCCAATAGTTTCATGAAGAGTCCTCGCGATCGAAGCTCCTTGCACCCCGATTCAATTATTTGTAGAGATTCTTTTAGCTGCAGGATCTCTGATTCGTAGTTCAGCCTAAACAGCATGGCACTGAAACGAGTGAAAGCGGAGGGGACAGCTTTGAGGAGGTGGTAGAGGAAAGATTCTGCATCGGCAAGTCTTGTGGGGTCGCCAGCGAATCCAAGGATCTGGGCTTCCTCTTCTTTCGTCGGGGCCATCCTGTCAAGCTTTTCGAGAGCATCGGCATCTAGGCCTTGGCCTTCGGTGAGTGCACCGAGAATTTCTTTGCGGGAAACAGTCAGAGACTTGAGCACAATCGCGATGTTCTGTGACCGTCGAGGATCGAGTGTGAAGATCTGTCCTGACGAGCCCGGACTGACAGCACTTGGAATCGCTGTACTTGTGTTCCCTCGAGGAGATTTGCGATTCGCAGCAACAGATCCGAATAGAGCTGCCATCATATCATCATCAAACCTGAAGCAAGTAATGGAAAATGAGCACGGGTTAGAAACAGAAATCAATGATGAATCGATGTCCTAAAGCTGCTAGAGTGAGCAAGTTTTTCAGAATGCGCTTACTTGAAAGAACCACCCTCAATTTTGTTCCACACCATCGAATGTTCCGTGTTGGCAATGTTCACCTTATCCCAGTGCAGTGGTTTCAGCTTCACCTGATCTGTTCCTGTTTGAGCGCTCCCCAATGACAATTCACCTGGTTTATTGGCACCTGGCATTGCTTTTGGCAATGGCGGGGGAGGTTTTAGTGATGAAGCCGGACCACCCGCCTTCGGAGGGGGTGGAGGCGGCGGCACTTTCGCAGCTGGGATTGGTGGAGGGGGTGGTGGTGGGGCCCTTGTATTGGTTCCGATTGCTGATGAGGTGAGTACCTCCGTTGACCTTTTGGGTGGTGCTAATGGTGGAGTAGGTGGTGGTGGCACCAGCAGCAGAGCCGGTGCCGGTGGAGCAGGAGCATTTGGCGGTCGAGTTGACACGGTGGATTTCTCCACGGCCTCTAGGACGAGCCCGGCAGGCGGAGGAGACGACAAAGCAGGCATGACATTCTGAACCAGGTCGTTTGCTTCCGGTTTAAATTGGCCGTAGGAAGTCGAGGACTTCTCTCGGAGCAAATGGACTTCCTGGATTGGCTCGGAGTTTCTCCGGCGATCTCTTCTAGGCGCTGTGCCTTCCTCCTCTGCCGCTTCTGCTCCTTCTTTGGAGCTCCCCAAAGCCTCCATTTTGATGTTGGTCTTGCCGCTCCTCCCCTGAAGCTTCCTCCAATAAAGAACGTCCAGCCCATTCTCATCCACTATCAGTCCCTTAATATTGCCATCGAACCGCCTAAAGTCGTCGCGCATGATGGTCGGGAGACCGCCAGTGGAGCCGCTCTCCTCCTTCCTACTCCGCGCGACCGCGCGCCTCTTGAGCAGAAGGATCAACAGCCCCGAAATCACCAGCGTGCTCGCCGCCGTGGCCGCGACCGCCTTGGCAATGGTCTGCTTGCCTGTGCCAGAAGGCGAAGGGGGCGGCAGCTGCGGCGGGGGCGGAAGCACCACCGGTGGCGGCGGCGGGGAGGCCGGAGGGTTGGTTGGAGGCGTTGGGGCGGGGATCGGCGGCAAGCCTGGATAGAAGACCTCGATGTTTTGCTGGCCGTCGACGAGGCGAGTGTCAGAAACAATCACGAGGAAGAGAACCGACATGAGAGCAAAGAATCTCCGGCGAAGAACCGAAGCCATGAGAGAGCGTTTTCAGATCAAAATTGCAGAGAAAAGAGAACAAAAATCCGGTCGCTGTTCTTCTGCTTTGCAAGATGAAGAAGAAGAACGTGGAGGTCAGCTACTGTCTCTTTGCTTTTTGGTCTCTAACCGCTGACAGTTTCTAAGGAGGCGGTTGGTACCGGTTGTATTTTTTCCCGGGGTTTTGCCTCGCGCAATGACCAAAACGGCCCCGCTCGGAGCCGCGTCAAGGCGTTCCGACCAGGGGGCGCTTTGGTCCTTTCACGAACAACGCGAAAGGGACAATACCAGCTCGAGTTATTAAAATCCCTGGTCAAGACCAAGTCGGAGCAGCGTTGAAATGGTAAATCCCCAAAACTTATCTTAATCAAAGTATGATCTGTACATTGATGGGAGAGTGCCAACGACAATTTCCTGATCAAAAACAAACATAATATTATGATTAACAAGTTGAATCTCGAGTTGAGAAACAAATGAAAAGTCTAAAAGCAAGACTTTATCGGATTGGGAATTCACCTAATCATTCGCGGGGGGGAAGAAGCTTCTGTCTTGTTGCGTTCGATCCGAGTAAATTCAAGGAATTTAATGGGGAGATGTCACCAACCCATCATTTTCTTGCACGATATGAATCAGAAGATCGGGCAAACGGATGGTATGGATGATGCGTAATCCCAACAGGAGAAGAGAGACAGAGACAGAGTGTTGGGGTTGGGTGGCTGGTTGACTGGGTTTTGCATTGAAACTGGGATGGGGATTGCAGTAGGTGAACGTGAACAACCGCAGGAGTATGGCCCGAAAGGGAAACAGAAACAAACTGCATGTTGGGCTTTTACCACAACTTTGTTGGTTCTGACTTTGGAAAAGGTCGTATCACTTTCGGATCAGTAAAGGGAAAAAGTTCATTTCAAATCTTGGAGATTATGAAATGGCATTGAATAAGTCTAGATGTTAAGAATCTGACATACTTTGAAACCTCATGTGTTGAAAGTTTAAGGTATAGGTGAAATGTGACTATCTAATGTCAACCGCGACATTATAAATAAGTGACGGGCCGGAATTGACAGCTTGATTCTGAATAATTCTCGCTTGCTTGCACTCCTTAAAACCATGGAAGGTTGTGAGCAAAACTAGAATTGCCTTAAATAACAATGATATGGACTATTGAGTATTGGACAGTATGAAAGACCATGCTTTAATGTCATAGAAGAGAAGGGTAGCAGATAGGCCACTTTACAGTAAAGAAGATTTAGGCACAAGAAACTCAAGCCGTGTCTCAGTTAAGTCCATGAAACTATTATCTCAGTCCATCTTTATTTTTTATGCAGCTGGTTTCATCAAAGGGAAAGAGAGCAGAACCGCGAGAGAGGGGATGGTAAAAATGGTTTTGTGGGCTCACTGCTCCTATGATTCGAACCCATCGAGAGATTGTGTATGCATATTGTATTCAGGATATCCGATCCGGATTGAACCATCGGCTGATATAGATCAAGACTTGCACCAAGGGAAATTTTAGTAGGCCTTGTTCTGAGACGTTAAGCGCGACCATAAAATGTTGGACTACACCATTAATGTTTGTTGATTGAATGAATAATTTTGATATTCATTTAACTTTGTTGAAGTAATATAGCTCGAGAGAAAAACGTACTAGAAGGCGCAAGGCATTATAGGGACGTTTCCTCCCCAGGATCACCTGTTGCGTGTTCTCAAACTCCATATTTTTTAGTCTTTTTTCCCCGAAACAGATGAGGAAAGGGTCAGATCTCGTCATCCGATTAAAGTTGTTGGATTAGATCTTCAAAACTTATTGCAACAAATCCAAACACCCAAATTGGTAGTCTAGTAGCATATATGTACCTAGTTTGTTAGATTTCGTCGTTCATCCTCCTCTATCCTGTCGGAGAAGATGTTTTCAGAACTAGATGGATTGAGGTGTTGCAGAAATTGGACTGACCTCACCGTCCGAAATGAGATGAAGTGAGACCTAAAAACATAAAGTGACAGCTATCAAGTGGGTTACGATTGATACTTCAGGAGTTTTTGTGGTTGTCGTATGCAAGTAATTGATGAAATTTGTAACTTGCGGAACTGTGAAAATTGTATCGTATGAAATTTGCTGGACAAGGATTCTCTATACTGTTCGGTGTCTCTATTGATGTCTCGGCAAAATTGAATCGTTGATCCACTAGCTGTAAATTCCATATCTATCCTTGTCCACGTGGATGAATGATTTGGATGGATGAGACACCGGATGGCGACACCAAAAGAGTAGATGATCTTGTTCCAAATTCGTTAGCTTGTGTACTGAATCCAGAGGATGAAAAGTACAGAGGATGTCTAGTAGGTCCCAAGAAATCGAATTTGTTTACTCATTCACCAGGATCCTTCATCATTAACAACGAGAGATTTTGACCCATAAACATACCTAAAACTCAACAGCAAACGAAGATACCATCACCCGGATCACTCTCTCTCTTCCCATCCTTGCTCAATCACACCAATGCTGCCATTGTTGCGGTTCTGCATTCTGCTCATATCGGGGTCCTCGGTGCCTGTGCTTGAGTCCATTGTGGCCGGGCCCTGGACCCTGGCACCCATGTTCGGGTCAACCGACTTTTGAGCCCAGGTTCATCGGGCTGGGCCTGGGATTCCCATGCCCGAGTCCCCTGCGCCCGCGCCCCAGTACATCAATGTTGGCCCGGGACCCTAGCGCCAGGGCCCGGTCCATCGAGGCAGTGCCCACGACCTCAACACCCAAGCCTGGGTCCAACGAGATTGTGCCTGGAAACTCGGCGCCCATGCGTAGGTCCTTGGTGTATGAGCCCATGCCTGCGACCCCAGCCGCCCATGCTAGGTCCATCAAGGCCGGGCCGGGCCTTGGATCCCGACGCCCGCATTCAAGTCCCCAGCGCCCGGACTTGGGTCCATCAAGGCTTTCCCGAAGACCCCGACGACTGTGCCTGGGTCCATCAGGGTTGGGTCTAGATCCCCGGTTCTTATGCTTAGGTCCATCGAGGCTGGGCTTAAGACCTTGATGTCGGTGCCCGTGCTTGAGACGGCAGGCCTGGGACCTCGGCACTCAGGCCTAGGACCTTGGCGACACTCAAGCTCAAGTCCACAAAGGCCAGGCTTGGGATCCAAGTGTCCGCTCTGGGACCTAGTTCCCAAGAACTCGGGCTCGGGCGCCGGGGACCTAGGCCAACCTTGATAGACCCTAGCCCGGCCTCGATGGATCCAGGTACACCAGAGGCCCGAGGCATTGGCACCAGGGTCCTAGCAGCTACGGAGCTTATCCCGAGTGCCAGGGTCTCGGGTACAGCCTCAATGGACTCGGGTGCAAGCGTCAAGGCCCAACCTTGATGTACCCAAGCCCAGGCATCGGGGTCTTGGGCATTAGCCCGGCCTCGATGGACACGGGCCCGGGTACCGGGGACTCCAGCTCGACCTTAACAAGCCCAAGCGTAGGTGCCGAGAACCCGAGCACCGACACCAGAGTCTTAGGCTCAGCCTCAATGGACTCGCCTGGGCGTCGCAAACTCGGTCACAAGCGCTAGGGTCCTGGGTTCGACCTTGATAGACCTAAACGTGGGTGTCGGGGAGCGGGGCCCAACCTCAATGGATGTGGCGTGGGTGCTGGGGTCTCGGACCCGAACGCAGGCATCGGGGACCAAGGCCCAGCGTCGATGGACCCGGGCTCAAGCGCTAAGGTCTTGGGCATAGGCCCAACTTCAATGGACCTAAGCCTAGGCGCCGGGGACTAAGGTCTGGCCTCCATGGACTCAGGGATGGGCGCCAAGGTCCCGAGCCCGACCTCGATGGACTCAAGTTCGGGCCCAAGTGACCGGGTTTCGAGCACTAGGTTCGAGGTCCGGCCTTCATGGACCCAGGCACGGGCACCAGTACCATAGTTCCAGACCCGACCTCGATTAACCAAGGCTCGGGCGCCGGAGGCTTAGTCTCGGGCGCCGGAGGCTTAGTCTCAAGCACTAGGGTCTGGCACTCGACCTCAATAGACCTCAGCCCGGGCGCAGAGGACTTGGGCTCGACCTCTATACACCTGAGCGGGGGGGTGTTCGAATGTCAAGCACGATTTTGGTAGACCCAACACTATTGCCCATGCTCGTGCCCGGGAGTTGGAGATCCAAGCGTGAAACCTCAGTGCCCATGCTAGATTTCTTGGCTGCACACGCGCAATTCACTAGCTCTCGAATAGTGTATGTATATATAAGAAAATTAAATGAGATTTTTCTTATCAATTCGGTTCATTTTCAGGTTTCAGCCAAATGCCAGAAAATAACTTCTTGAAAAATATTTTCAAGAAATGTTATATTTTTCATGAAACAAACGGAGCATAAATTTTAGGTGAGCTAGAGGGAGAAGAAAGGGAGGAACTAGAGTTATCTAGCCGTACGTCGTGCAAAGGGGTTATCTATATAAATTTGTTGTCAACTATCAATAGGAGATTAGGTGAAGGAGTTTTCAAATTTTATCTTGAGTAAAATGACGATTTTCAAACAACAGTCTCGAATTTTCGACCAAAAAAAAAAATTAGGTCTCGAATTTGTCGTCGGTGGAATTCCGACTTCATAAACAACACATAGCAATGACCGATCATTTCACGTGGGAGCTACGTTAGACTTCTGACGCCCGAACTTATTAACGGGTCCATCACCCAAATTCTAGGATTTCAATAAACGCATATTCATAAAAATCTTCTTAGCAAGTATATCAAAAGTGCCTCGTAAATAATTAACTCGAAAATCACCTATCATGATCTTAAAACGCGGAATCATTCTTGAACCAACTGTCCTCCAAATACTGGTTAATCACGTCTCTCGTGACCTTTTTTAGAGGTCAATGCAAGTGTTTATTCTCTTAGAACTACCGCGTAGCATGCCCATTCCACCAGATTGCTCGAGAAGTCTTCTTATCCAATTGAGTAATGTCGGGTTGAACATTTCGTACAATTTGGAGCATTGTCCGGATCTTCCGTCCTACTCCTTACCTAACTCCTCCCATTTGACATTCAACGAAATATATTCTGGCATATGATGTTGATGATGATGGCATGTGACGGCGAACATGGAAAGAACAAATTAAACGCGAAAGAAACCAAAATAAGACCCGGGACACCTTACGAAAATTATCTATTTTGGAATTTGTAATGATTCCATAGATTTCGGACAAAGCCTTAATTTTGATTACAAAGCCTCTGTATTCTTTTTACCGTCAAATTCGTCATCATCGATTTGGATAGTCGATTAGTAATTAAATTAAAAACCGGGCAAATACCAAGATTTGATAAATTGGTATAAAAATCACTGCACGAGTCGCTTCCCAATACCAAGACTTGAAATTTTCTTTTATTCCCTAATCATGTCTTTGAGTTGAGCTGTCGGAGAGAATGTCGGAAGGCCGGCGAGTTAGGGAATGGACAAATGTCGAGGCCACATTGGCATTGATCTTGGGCTGCGAGGCTCGATCACTGGCCCATTCAGACAAACAAGGGGAAATGCTACATTGACATGCCCTTGAGCGACAACCTTGGCCTAGTATCTACGGTTGATTAATATGATTTTGCAACAATTTCGTCCATGAATCTATGTTATGAAACTTTAGCTAAATGTCTCATTTACTTTGAGTAAAGGTCGTCCTCGTAGTTTCAATTTCTCCCATCATCTCTCTCAAACCCACCAAAAAAAAAAAAAAAAACAAACAAACACTATCTTTCGAGCCCTCGCGACGCGCAAATGAATCTTGTAGATCTACTTAATTCCGGATGCTCTTGTGCATATACATTTCCTTTTCATGTGCAATTAGCATTAATCGAGCATGACATGGTAGTGTATATGTGTCGTGTCCTCGTTGCGTAGATAGATATTTTGAGAGAGTATGTCTTAATATAGTATTGTAGAGGGAGCGTATCACTATCAGTTTCTTTAATACGTGACACCATTGTCGAACTTTCAATCGATTCATCTAGATCTTTGAATTTGATCAATCAAATCCTTGTAGTGTTTTCAATCTAAACTCACAAATTAGCATTGACAAAATTTGCTAAAATAGGCATTAATCCGACATAAATTAAGATTAGATGGAGAAAATTATACACATGGATTTCATACGTGTAATAATTCACTAATAGCAGCAAAATACTACACGTTCCCTTCCTTGGTGTACTATTTTCTTTAAATAAACAGGTTTTCCCCTCGCTCGAGTCTCGATCACTTTAATTACATCTACTCATTCCCTTTACTTTTCTTTAATAGGTGGTCTTTAGGATACCTATACCCCAAAGTTTCTCGCAAAAAAATAAAAGAATAAGTGCATTGGAAGTCTTAAAACTTATCATGAAAGTACAATTGAATCCTAAAACTTTCAAAAGTGCAATTACGTCCTAAAAATTTCAAAAAGTGCAATCAAATCCTAAAACTTGTTGTTAAAGTGCGATTGAGTCCTAAAACTTTTAAAAAGTGCAATAAAGTTTCAAAACTTATAAACATTTTCCGTTTGTCAAGTTGGACCGAGTCAATCGAAGGACTTGATTGTCCTAACTTGACAAGTATTGGGATTTAATTGCACTTTTTGAAAGTTTTAAAACTTAATTGCACTTTCGCGACAAGTTTAGGACTTGATTACACTTTTTGAAAGTTTTAGGGTTCAATTACACTTTCATGACAAGTTTTAAGGCTTTCAATACGCTTATCCCGAAATAAAAAGAATCGAGGATCACTTTAAATATTGAAGAAAAGTTCATAGGCAATCCATGCCATTATCCCTTTAAAAAAACCCAACCTGTTAGAATGCCCCCGTTACAATGTGTTTGGATGGAGAGAAGTGAAAGGAAATGGACGGAAATATTCCCTTGTTTGCTTGTTTTGAGCTAGGAAGGAAGTGGATGAAGATGATCTTGGGAAATACTTCTCCGTGAGCCACGTTTTATTTCATTCCAAAAGTAGAGAAGATTGGAAAGCAATATAATTGATGTCATTTTCTTCCAAAAGCCCTTACATTACTTTTTTAACTGTGAATTAAAGGGAAAATTACATTTTGCATCTCAAGTTTTGGCGATTGCGGCAAGTTGCCCTGTGACATTTTAATTTCTGCAATTTGCTCCCTGACTTTTTAAAATCGGTGGCAATGTGCCTTCTAGCGTCAACTCCGACCAAATTTTTGTCACATATCTATCTGACCATGTGTGACTACACTTGATTAGTCGCGGGAAGCAAAATCGGTCCCGCACACAAACATGGACTGCTCAAATATATCGGTGTGCATTTGATGTCGGTTCCGATAAATTCATGCCCGAATTCGAGTCACACACTCTCCCATTTAAATATATTTCTGAATTATTCTTTTATATATATATTCATATGATAAATTTATCCTCGGTAATCAGTCCGGCGCTATCATGGAGTCAAAGCTTCGAACAATATATAATTTCTCCTAAAACAAGACAGGAAAAATAATGAAGTCTATTCACGAAACTAATTCCACTTCCACGCCATTTTCACTCTTCCTTTCCATCTATGTACTTCCAAGCTTCCATTTACCCAAAGGAAGGCCAAAGACACTCCTCTGTTCTGTAAATCGCAGGAAGGAAAAAAGGGGCAAAAAACCTGAATCAAGGAGAAGAGAAAACAGGATAAGTCCCATCGAAATCAAAGACAAAATCGCATCACTCGTCCTGTGGCGTCTAATCGCAGCAGCCGTTCATCGTCAGCCATCTTTTATCCGGGGACGATGCCGAAGATGGGGCCGAAGAAGCAGAACCAGCAGCAGCAGCAGCCCTGGAGGGCGGTGACGGCGGGGAAGACGATGAAGTCGACGGCGGGGAAGATGATGAAGTCGATGGCGGCGACGACGAGACAGAGCTAGCCGGCGGCGATGGTGACAACAACGACGAAGCCGAGAGATCCGAATCAGCATAATCATCTTCGTCGGGGTCCTCCTCTCGCAGCTTTCTCTTTGGATTCACGTTCGCTCTGTTTTCGGTTTCGGTTTCGTTTCTCTCTCCGGAATCTCTCCTCATGTACGCCTTCAACCGCTTCACGTCCGACAGCTTCACGGGCTTCACGATGAACTCCTCCGCTCCTTCCTCCAAGCACCTGTTCCATCAGTTTCCCATTCAAAATCACACACGCAAAAAAGAAAAAGATCTGCCAAATTGGGTGAAAGAAATCAAGGGAAAAATGTAAGAGGATACCTGTCAATACGCGCCAGGACCTTCTCGGATGACATGATCACAACGGGTATCTCTCTCAAAGCAGACGATTCCTGCCATTAGACAGAGACTGGGAAGACTTATTTTCCTGTAAAATCCAATCCAACCCTTTTTTGGTGAAAGAAAAAGGCTTTGACGAGCAAAAGAACGACCTTAATTCTTTTGAGCAAATCATATCCACTCATTCCAGGCATGCAATAGTCCGTGATGATCAAATCCACCTTCAAGTTCAACCCCTGATGATAACCAGACGCGACTACAGTTTTGTTCAGGCTCATTCATAAAAACAGAGTGTAACAGCCTCAGTTTCAAGTTCAGCCAAATTAGCCAAAGAAAAGAAGCAATACACACGAAATTACACCGAAAATGTCTAGGAAAAGAAGACGAAAACTTTCCGATTGCCACTCACATTGACATGACCGGAGCTTTTGTCATCGTCCAGACCCAGAACCTGCAGAGCTCTGCTTCCACTTTCCACAGTAGTCACTACGAATTGTGACAGCCAACGTTCATCTCTCGAAACCCAAAACTCCTTTTTTGTTCTTTATGAGAAGAAAAGGCACGCATTTCAGCTCACTCGAGCAAGAAGTTAAAGACACGCGATTACCTTTGAAGGAAGAGATTCTGAGCAACCGCTCGATGACTTTCCGGTCGACGAGGCTGTCATCGACGGCCAGGACGTGAGCCTCTCCGGGCTCAGAGGGCCGAAGCGAATCGAAGGCGCCGTTGCCGTGCGCCCTCCTCCGCCACGAGACGACGTCGCCCCCGTCCATCACCGGCTCTTCTTCGTAGGATGGGAATTCAGCTGGTTATGATGGAGCTGATAGAAAGATGCAAGTTTCCAGCTTCTTTGCTTTTCCGCTTGACCCAAGAGAGGCAAAGAAAACGAAATGGATCCTATTCCGTTCTGCTCAGCGTCTCACCTTCTCTCTCTCTCTCTCTCTCTGTCTCTCTACAGTCACTGTGGAATTTGCGTTTGCTTTTGTGGCAGAAAGGGAGAGGAAATGCGTTGCCTGGTCGTCTCTCAATCGATGGGCTATCTCTCTCTTTCTCTCTCTCTCTCTCTCTCACCCTCTATCTCGCTTTTGAGGATTGAAAACGAGACCAAATCTTGCTGTGTCGAGGAGATCTCAAATCTTGGGATTATTTTAATGGATTTGAGCTTCGCAGGCGAAAGATTCTGACATCGACTTTTGGGTGTGACATCCACCCAATTCCCACCCGATATCTCGCGAGATATACTCCTCCTCCTCCAGTTTGCATTGCCTTGCCTTCTCTTCTTCTCTTCTTGTCAGTTGAATGGTCAAGTCCTTTTTTGACAGGGAGTCAAATGGAGGGGATGAAGACGAGCGCCGTCAAATCAAAAACGGAATCAAACGAGAAGAAGCGACCCTCACAAGGGCTTTTCAAATCTTGGGGATCAAAGAAAGGCAGCGAAAACATGCATGAATGTGATGGAAAACACGTTTCTAATTTGAAAAAGTATGAACTTGTTACCTCAGTTTTTAGCGAAGTCGTACACATGCTCTCGAACTTTGCCCATTTTCCTTCTCTCTAGAGGTGAGCACCGAGTCGGCTCAATTTGAGAGCTGGATCGAATTAGACCCGTCAAATGGTTGGGTTGACTCGGATTTGACCCAGATTGAAAAATGATTCGATTCATATTAATTCATTTAACCCGTTTTGATCCATATTCATGTAATGCAAATTTAATGACTCATACATTAAATCGGTATGAACGGATCGATTTAAGGCTGATTTTAAAAATAACCAGTTCAGTTATCGATTCCACGAATCTATAACTGGCCACCATCCCACCGTTATAGGTTAATGTATAAATCGGTTCCCTGCCATATGTCTTTTTTTAGCTTTTGACCGTACTTATTCTTTTTAGGGATAATGATACAAATAGTCCCTGAACTTTGGCCCAATGTGCAATTTGGTCTCTGAACTTTTAATTTGTTCAATGTAGTCCCTGAACTTTAATCTAATGTGCAATGTGATCCCTGAACTTTTAATTTGTTCGATGTCATCCCTAAACTTTTGGTACATGTTCAATTCAGTCCCTGAACTATGTGAAAATGTTCAATGTAGTCCCTGAACTTAAATTAATGGAAAGGAATGCATTGAACATTTTCATATAGTTCAGGGACTGAATTGAACATGTACCAAAAGTTCAGGGATGACATTGAACAAATTAAAAGTTCAGGGATCACATTGCACATTAGATTAAAGTTTAGGGACTACATTGAACAAATTAAAAGTTCATGGACCAAAATGCACATTGGACCAAAATTCAGGGATTATTTGTGTCATTTCCCCTTCTTTTTACTAACATCAAGGTATCTTTAAGTTTGTTTTCGTTTTTTAGTTGACTTTTAATATTCAATTATAATTTTATTAGAAGTATCTTAAATCTTTAAAACATGCACTCGTTGACCTTTTTTTGGTTTAGATCTTTTGTGATTTTTAAAGGAAGGTTTTTTTTTTTTAATAATTTCAACAGGAATACCAGAAGGCTTCTGGGGAATTCTTTCAGCCTGATTAAAAAATCCCCTGAACTTTTCAAATGGGGTACAAATTCTCTCTGTTTTAGGCATTGATGTGATGCTTTAGTAAGGCAACAAAGCACTATTTGCTCTTCTTCTTCTTCTGAGCCAAGCCTGGCTTGTGCCAAGCCCGAAGGTCGGATTTAATGTGTTTGTTCATGATCTGCAATGTACGTCGAAGCATTTAGGCAGGTTGACCGGGCCTTCAATATATAAGTCCTTGTTCCAATCCTACCATGTGTTTGTCGTGTCAAAATTTCACCAAATCACAAGCATGATTTGCTTAAAGTGTACTAATTGCCAAAAAAGAAAAAAAGCATTGTGTGTTTGACGATTGAAATCAAAGCTCGGTAATTATATATAACAAATATATAAGAACTTATAAGGAAAAGAGAATCAATGAAAATATAGCCTGAGACCCTCCCTCGATCTGTTTGGCTATGGTTCATCCTTGTCCAGCCGTGCTTGATCTCTCTAATGGCTGGCACAGCATCTTCAATCTTCGTTCTCATTTTTCTCAATTGTCAAACTTCGTCTAGACCGAAAGAATCTTGAAGTGGAATGATCTCGCTAGTTTGGTGTCGGAGTAGCAAGCAAGCTCACCCTCCCGCCGAGCTTCGAGCTCGAGCGGCCATGGCGGTCGCAAGCTTCGAAGCCAGAGTCCACCTTGAAGCTTGCGGCCGCCATGGCCAGCAACTACGGCAAGTGCTCCCGGATGTCCAGGTGGCAATGGGCAAGGACGAACATGTGCCAAAGGAGTTTGGCTGAGCAATCTTAAGGTTGAAGACGATGAATAGTAATCTTGTAAAAAAAAATTTAAAAATTTTTACGCAGATTTTTTTGGACAAAATTGCCCTATTTTGATCGTTAGGAAAATCAAGTGCTCACCGATCAGCCAACGAGCTTAGGCTTTTATTTGAAATTGACTTTTTCACTCCATGCCTTTATTTGAGATTCATTTGGTCATTTCAAGCCTTTATTTGAAGCAACATCTACTGTAGGTCTTTTTTTTGAGAAAATGACCTCGCTTCATACCCTTATTTTGAATTTTCCCCAAAATTTATTACATGTTCACATTTTTCGTTATTCAAATTAGATGGAGCTAACAAAATTATTCCATTACGCTATTTGAAAATTTTAGGATTAGATTTCACTTTTGTGATAGGGAAAATAACACAAATGGTCCCTCAACTTTGGCTCAATGTGCAATATGATTCATAAACTTTCAATTTATTTATCGTGATCCCTAAAGTTTTGATACATGCTCAAGTTAGTCTTTGGATATATGAAAATGTTCAATGTTGTCTCTGAACTTGAATTAATCGACGGATGACACTGTTCATTTTCATATAGTTTAGAGACTAACCTGAGCATGTACCAAAAGCATAAGAACCATATTAAATAAATTAAAAATTTAGTGATCATATCAGATATTGGGCTAAATTTCATGGAATCACAAAAAGTTCATAAATCATATTATATATTGAATTAAAGTTTAATAACAATTGGTGTCGTTATCTCTTTGCGATATGTGTTGGGTCTTTGTAGTGCATTTACTCTTAACATAATTTTGGGTATTAAAGTAAAAAGAAAAGCTTTTGTCCAAACGCAGTTTTCCCTTCGATTTCCTGGTCCTTCTCAGGTTCCTCCCATTCCTCCGGTGCAAGGACCAGGCAGCATCGCGCGGAAGCTTCAACAGTCTGAAACCGCGATGGAGTGCGCAGGGACGGGGAGAGGGACGAGGTGCATCGGCCCGGCCAAGAGGCGGTGCGCTCGCTGCGGGGCCGTCGGTTACTGCTCCGTCTCTCACCAGGTGACGACCATCCATTCGCTTCTTCTTCTCATGTTTCGATTCCATCGCTTGTTCTTGTCATCGTTTTTTGTCCTTACCCTTGTGGAATATTTCTCTTGGTTCGGTTCGTTGTGTGCTGCGTGACGGTTGACTTGTCGGTCAGGACGTCGTTGTCGGCACTGGTATCGCCGATTCAGCGCGCACGCGTTTGGGTGGGGTGGGGGGGGGGGTTTAGATACGCGAACTCGCGCCGGGCGGGCGAACAGAAAGAGGTTTTGTGCTCTGTAGTGGCGGCGTGGTTTAATGCGGTATATTCTGAATTATGAACAACGGGCAGTGGTGCATTTGTTGGATGACCCTTTTGCATCTGGTGATGTGTGATTCTTCCAGAGGTGAGTGGCTCTGAGACGATGGACAATGCAAGTGCGGTCGCATAGCTGTTTCGGTGTTTGATTTATCCGGCGGAGCATCTGTTTAGCAGGTCCATTGTTGCCTGCTAGACCGATCATGACTTACATGTTTTAAGGGTATCCTAGTTGGTGGACTTAAAGGAAAATGCAAAATATGAAATTGTTGATCCTCACAAGCGCCAAAAGCTCGTATACCTCTTACAGCCTCTCCTTGCACCGGCAGGCACGACTCCTATGTTGCACCATTGACTCTCATGGCATCATGTAATGAAAGTTCGCATTATGCTTTTGTGAAAGTTTATCTGCTGGAACTAGGAAAGTATGCCATGATTTTCGATTAGAAAAAAAAATCAAGGCTGACAGAAGGAATAGAAATCGGTTGGGTGGTGGTTGGACCCAGTGATTAAATGCACAGTGGCCGAGCCTTTGAATGGGGAATATATCTCACGTGACAGTAATATAATATGTGATGCTCACGTGGTATTACTGAGCCAATCATGTCCTCCAAGTTTACAAATTGAAAATTTAGGTGGTTATTGTGTTTGCTTGTGGCTTGGTGGTACGGCCTTGGCATGACAAGTGGTATTGTTGCCATTCTGCCCCATAAAATGCTCTCTCCTTGTAAAGAGTATCTAGAGGCAAAGCATGCTGATGTCATCAGAATTTATTCGATTGAAATATGTTGATCTGACATCTATCCAAACTATAGCTAATGTGTTGGGGCTGTGACAATTAAGGGCTTTGTTTTTCTTCTTTTTTCCTGGTGTTTCCTTAGATTTCTCATTGGAGTGTTCATAAAGAAGAATGTGCAAGGTTAGAGCAACAAATGAAGCATGCTGATGCATTGAATGCTTTTCCTTTCACGTACTGTCAAGAAGCCACAGTTGAGGTGACTCTCATTTTCCTTCAGAATATTTCTTGCCTCTTCTGGCTTGTTGTGCGAAAGTAAATTGATGATATTTTTTCTAGATCTGTGAAAAACGAGCCAGCAGATGTTCGTTCTTGAGCAAAAGGGGCATTCATCAGGTTGGAATGTGGATGCATGAATGCAAGTGCCAGCCATTGAGCAATTTTTTCGAGGACTTGAGGTTCTGTGGTACTCCTATATTTGATATATTCATTGCTGGCATTCTTTTTGAGTTTTTCTCTTCAATCTCGAATTTTACTTTGTCATGGTTTGGTTCATGCTTCTGGTCATGAGTTTATGTAGTGTAAACTTGTTCTGGTGTATGGCTATGGGGAGTATCTCTCGTATGCTCCTAATTTTTTGAAATTATAGTATGTCCTATTTGCCTGGGATATCAATCAATTGATATTTTATGGGCCGGATGTCTCTCAAACAGGCAATTTTGTGGTGCTCGTACACCTTGACCAGCACAATGAGAAAAATGCTTCTGTTGCTGAAAGGCATGTGATTGTCCTGTGAGAAAACTCTTTAGCGGATTGTTTCACACCTCACTTTGTGTTTATTGTAGTTTAGCTGGTATTTGAATTTTTAGCACCAACACTTTCATACATGTTGGCTTTGTTAAGGAACTGTAGAAATTTTTTCCTGATTCCACCTTATTAGGACCAGCATTTATTGCCTTTGTGGAATATAGGTCACACTTCAGTTATCGACGTTGTAAGAGAATCTATTTATGACTCCTTATGGATCCACCTTAATAGCACTAAGCTTTAGCTGAGTGAACTACATGACATTTCACCTGTGAATTTTCTCTGTGTTGATAAATTAGCATAAGAAGGATCTCTTATTCTTAGCACTTTTGAAGTATTTACTGGGACAGTTATGTAAATCAAGACTTTGCACGGTTTTTCATTTACATGGCCTAATTTTTACTGTTCCGGTCAGGTGAATGATACTGTCCTTAATATCTGCTTACAAACTTTATTTGGTGGCAGGTTTCACAATAGTTGGGATCTTCCGAGAATGTTATGCCCATGTAGAGGTATAACCAATGGCTTCCAGCTTTTACTGAGTTGAGCCTTAAAAAAACACTTGACTGAAAAATTGTGCAGGCCCAGTCTCTCCAATATCAGACCATCTAAGTGGTTGGGATGACTATTACAGGTGGAGGCATATCCCATTTCACTCACCTGTTGCTTTACTCCTTCAATGGGTACTCATGTTAATTCTTATCCTCTGTTGTGAATTATTATGAATTCTGCTTATTGTGTACCCCTTGTTACATCTCTTATAACAAGCTTGAACTTAACCATTTGGATGGTCTTTTTTCTAGAAGTTGGCCATTTTGATGAACGGACGTCTGAATTTTATCTTCTCAACACTGAGTTCATGGAAAACTTATTGTATTGAGCAAAAAGTATAGAAGTTGGGCTTGCGGATGTTTGGAGCTGGGGCTTTGAAAGTGTCAAATTATATTCTACATTATCAAATGATTAGCATGTCTAGTACATTGGACAATTTTAATCAATGCCATTAAAGCTAGATTTCTGTGTGAAACCAAGGGGTGGTTTGGTGCCCTTCTTAGTAATGGACAATTACTGCACCAGGGTTTTATGTGAAAATTGGATCGGTTCAAATGTCAAGATCTATTATTGCACGCAAAAATGCGACTATGTTCTCTTCCACCTGATACTTTGTTACCTATTAAAGTTGATGCATGCTAATTTATTCATGTTGTACGTGTTTAAAGCTACTTACTCCTCTCTCTCTCTCTCAGCCAATGTTGATATACCATGCCATTCAGATTACTAGTGCAAGGATTTCAACTATTGGCACTAGCAAGGAACTGCGTGTCCACTATGTCGGTAATTTCTGGCCCTGAACATTCATCTTTTTGGGAGCGCTTTCTTGTGGAGCACTTCTCTTCATTGCCACTGCTTATTCATATTGTTCTCCTGTTGACTTAGGCTTACATAAATGTAGAGAAGGTTTCTCTTCCAGCCTTATTGCTACTCTGATCACCATCGCTTAATCAATACCAGTTCGTCCTTATAAAATGTCCTTATTCTGAACCTTGGATTGTGCAATCCTGTCAGGGACATCTGAAAACTTTGTCTCTACTTTTGAGGCACTTGTCGAACATGAGTCCTTAACTTTCTACAATTTTTTGAATTGGATAAAAAATAACAATAAACAGCAAATGCATCAAGTGTCCTTGATGCTTCTAATCATGGAGACAAAGTTAAGCCTTGTAAAGCTTGCACTTAACTGCTAGTGTCATATAGGGCCTGAGAAGGAGCTTCTACAACTTCCGGCCTTTGGTGAGTTGCAGGCACTTTTTCCTGGTATGCGGATGCATATTGAGCTTGTTGGACCTGCAGTTCCAGAGCATAGGTGACTCATTTATTGTTTTTGGGCTTGATATGTATTCACTTATTTACCACATACTTTTTAATCTTTCTGGTGGACTTTTGAATGATCTAATGTATAACTGGACAAATTGTAACCCTCTTCCATGTCTTCTTTCTTCTCTTGGTTTTTGGGCAATGAATAGGGATGGTGAGACAATTAAAGTCGGTGGTTATGCTCAGTGTAGTGAAACCAACTGTGACTGCAAATCCACAAGTTCTCACGAGAGCAAGAGTTTAAACACTGCCTATGATTCCACGGTTATCTTGCAGCTTCGGAGAGGCTGTTATCATGATATCTACAGAAATATATCAGAAGTCTCTCTCTCTCTCTCTCTCTCTCTCTCTCATGTATAATTTCTTTCTCTGTTTGGAATTCCTACAGTGTAACTTTTTGATAGGTTCTGTTATGTTGACAGGAGTCTTTGCCTCATTTGGTTGTTGCTCCTAATGCTGGCATTGCTGCTTATTCGAGTTGGTTACCTACAATTGTGGGTCTTCTATAACTCCATGATACATTCGTCTCCTTCCTCTCGTAATATATTTTTTTTAAATTATTCTTTTAATATTTGCAGGAGCTGATACGCGAGATGAATGTCCCTGCAGTTTTTTCTGATTACTGTGAAGAGGCTTGTCATCTTGCAGCTTGTTGCATGAACACTGTTGCTGGCATATCTTTTTCTCTTCCAGTGTGTCTCATTTCTCCTCTTTGCTCTTTTTGAGAAGCTTATTTCCAACAGCGCAAACTTAAGCAAGTTGCGATTGATGCTTCTGCTGCTTGTAGATCCAATTGAATCCATTCAGGCAGCCAATGGCGGTAGAAGACAGTGCACTTCTTCTTCCGTGCTATTCAAATTGCTTCCTCTTTGGAATATGAACCACTGAATTGAGAAGTAATGTATTTGTCGAAGATCATATTTAGTCATTTGGAGATGGTTCTATCGAATGAGGGAGCATGTGGCTTTGGTAAGTTTAGTAAAGCAAGTTGTTTGGCCAATTTGAAAGGTTAAACTGATTGTGCAATTTGTGTTTACCCACTCTCCAGGTACTTGAGATGATCCACTGCTTGATGCTTAGCTGCACCTATCAAACCCGAATTGGATGGGGAGAATGAAAACTTCAAGACAATTCACTTCAAGAGGTAAGACTTCTGCATAACCAGGCTTAGTTTAAGTAGCAACAGCAGAGTTCATCTTGTGCAATAGTGACTTTCAACTTGCTCTAGGATTGGCCTTTGGCCATCCAATTCCGTGTCACACACCTGACTGACATTAATCGAGGGACTTGCCCAATCTATTCCTAATGTGAGAACACGGCAGCCCATTGAGTGTGAGATACAACTCTGCTCTGGCAGTCCCCCTTAGTGCATTTGAATAATATTTATCGACCTATTCATTGTGAGGTGAGAATTGGCCGTAGAATGGCAACTCGGAGATTGTATACTGAGGACATGTTGATTGGTAAATGCTCTTGTGGAGATCGGTCATGCTAGCATCAGACTCGCCGTGGACGGTGCTAGGGGCTTGCTAGAGTGAAGTAATTCTAACCCTATAGAGACATGCACCATGATTGCATAATGGTGCTCACCAAACTGCTTTTAGCGTCACAACTCGCTTGTGGACTTTAAAATCGTACTCCCAAGAGCGACAGAGACCTCCTGAACACATCCCACATTTGTGGGATTTTGGCAACTGGCATGAACAATTTGCAAGATTAATTTCAATCCCTTATGCATCGAAATGCAATGTGACCTTAAAACTTACCATTTAATACAGTACTAAAAACCTATAGCGAAGAAACGGAACGTAGTAGTCCTGCCTTTCACGTTCATGATGGGTTTTGTGCTTTGTGCTAATATTATGAACGGAGCTGACCCTAAGAGGGCATGATTGATTTTCGAGTATCGGATTGCCGGCACTCAATTATTAGGGCAATTATATAATTTATTTTGCCGTTGATAAATCTGTTTGTTCAAAGTATACAAAAAGTATAAATTAATTAAGTTTTAGGCTCCTGCATACTTAAGTAGAATGTGCTTGAGATTTCTATTGGGTGACACAACTTCGATTTGCGATGGGCTCGATTTTATTTTAGGACTAATCAGTTTCAAGTTTGAAATAGGGTCAAGCCTCTCAGCTCCACCACGAGTGCAACCTTTAACAAAGATAAATTATGAAACCATTGCTGGCATTTTGTTAGAGGGAAATATGAATAATTTAGTTTAATTCAATAGCTTAATTTTTATGCAAATCTAAAATTGTGAGACGACTTCAAGTCCACGGAGTAGTGGCATATAAAAAAACCGTTAGTTTCACAAGATATAAAACGAGACATGTCGTAAGTCGCAGTTCATGTAATTAAGTGATAATATTGCATATTATTCCTTGAAATGTTTTATTAATGATATAAAGACAGATCATTGAAGATGTGGAATTGCATGTTACAAATTGTTAATTTTGATAAAGTTTAAGCATTATGATATTGCATTAATTTGTAGGTAGATTGCCCGTGGTCATAAAGGTTTTTTGTTTAATTAAGCGTAACCTAGAGCTGAAAAAGAACACAACTTGGAAATAGTGACGTGGTCAATAGCAAGTCGTCGCTCTCCAAAACGTGACGGTACCGTTGCTTGTGGGGTTGGAATTTTACTCTCGTGCCTTTTGCTACATGAGTTAAAGAAGGGAATGATAAGACTCCAATCGAAAACAAACATTAACTCGTGTCCCCATAATCCCATCTTCCATATCTTTCTTTCCGAAATTTATGGAACTAAAGACACCCCTCCCGCAATAGGGGCATCTATTTGTGTTTGCGGATCGTTCTCTTATTGTGTTGGCGTAAGAGTATACTATGAAATAGGTCAATCAAACACGACATGATTAGTTAATCGTATTGACCTACTTGACACGAACATGGCTGCAAAATTAATGAGTTGGCATGACATGATCCGTGTATCTCGATTAAATAACAGATTGACGGGTTAGTCGGATTGCATAACTCGCCAATCACACGAAATCAACCCCCACCACAAACTCAATACGAGATATCCTCGACTTTTCGTGAAATCTATTTACAAATTAGAATTATCTATCAACAAAATGTCATCGGATCAAATTAAAAATCATGTTTATAGTCAATGAAACATCATCAATTTAATATTTTTACCGTGAATAGGATGCAAAGAATAGTGTTCTAGTTAATCATGTTTAGACAGGTCACACATAAGTCTTGTCAACACAACTCTGCTAAGTTAAATGGGTTATGTGGTCAAATCTTGTGTCTGGCAGGTTGGACACAAACACGACATGGTTATTAATCATGTCTCGCGAGTTCACACGGAATTGATCGGAGCACGATTAGCCTCAATCCACCCGCTAAGTTCGTGTCATTTTCGGATCGTATTATTATGTCGTGTCAAGAGTTGCTGCGGTTACCCTACACACACTCAAATGATTCGTTCTCATGCTAAAGATGAAAACCATAAAGATACCATGAATAAAAAATAGTAAGAGGGGTGTAAGACTCAAGGCAGCGGTTGTCATGTTAGAGCAATAAGAGGTGAAGTTCATTTTAGAAATCGATAAATAAAGGTCCAGACAAAATCACCTACCTAGGTTATCGACAAAGGGCCCGTTTGGTTCAGCTTTTAGAATGTTCATTGGGGAATGCAAATACCTTTAGGTGAAAGCCACTTGAAAAAATGCAAATGGCGTTTGGTAAAAAATTATTTGAAAATCACTTGGGGAAATGCAATTGTGTTTGGTTATTTCTTTTTACAAATGGGCTTTGGGAGGTTGTTTATTTTTATTTTTAAAAGTACCCTTCGCCGGCTCCGGCGAAAAGCTACGGTCGCTGGCGAGCCAGATCTGGTGCCGGCGGCCGTCGCCCGAGGAGGCCTGAGGTCGCGCGACCCAAGCGGCGTGGGTCGCGCGACCCAAGCGATGGCGCCTGGGCGGTCGCGCGACCCCAAGCGGCCGTCGCCTGAGGTCGCGCGACCCAGGCGGCGACGGCCTGGGTTGAGCGACCCCAGGTGGCCGTCGCCTGGGGTCGCTCAACCTAGGCCGCGACCCCAGGTGGCGATGGCCTGGGTCGAGCGACCCCAGACGACGGCTGCCTGGGGTCGCTCAACCCAAGCCATCGCCGCCTGGGGTCGCGTGACCCAGGCGACGGCGCCTGGGCGGTTGCTCGACCCCAGGTGGCCGTCGCTTGGGTCGCGCGACCTCGCCGGCCCCTCGCCAACGGCACTGGCCCCTGGCCAGCCGCCTTAGCTGGCCACGCTTTGCTGAAGAAGAAATTTTTTTTTTTTTTGGGAACAGTTAGCATTCCAAATACTACCAAATGAGCATTTAGAACTCCAATGCTGAACCGTTTGGTTCATCATTTTGGGAATGCTCATTTAAGGTAAAATGAGCATTCCCAATGCTGAATCAAACGGGGCCAAAGTGCATGATGTAAATTGTACGATTTTAAAAGGGCAAAATGCAATTTGACACGAACGCACTAAACTAAGACGATTTTGAAAATCTTTACTTTTATCACGTGTAATCATTATTGGCAATTTTTTCTTTTCATTTAGTATATCTGATAATTGTTAATGGAATATTCAATACTAAGACTCATTTATTAAAGTGGTACTTACATAAATGTCGGATGTGCAATGTGGTTCTCAAATTTTTAATTTATTCAATCTGAACCCGAAATTTTATCTCAATGCTCGATGTTGTCTCTAAAATTTTAAATTGTTCAATATGGTCCTTGAACTTTTAGTAAATGTTCAATTTGGTCCTTAGGCTATTTTTAATTTAAATTCATGGACAGTATCGAATATTTTCATAAAGTTAAGGGACAAAATTTCATAAATCACATTATAGGTTTGGTCAAACTCCGGGCTTCCTGTGTCATTTTTCCATTAGGATATAGAAATGGTCAGTCTCGCGTTATTCCATCTTTTCCATTTCTCGCTCGGTTTCCACCTTCGTCCAAACGGAAATTCCAAAGGGCGGACGCAGATCCCTCCAAGCGCCACGTCATCACCCCCCCTCCCTCCTCCTCCAGTCCAAGTCCCACAAAGGGGAAGCGAATATCGTACGGTAACTACCAAGTTAGCTCCTCCCTCCGCAATCAGAAAGATCGTCGTCGTCGTCGTCGCTCCCGAAGCAAACCCTCCCATGACGGACTTCCCATTTCCCCTCCGCCTCTGACGAACCCAAAGCCAAATTCCCGCTTCTTCCCCTCGCCAATCGTCAGCTTCGCCAAATCGCGATCCAATGCCTCGCGCCGCTCCATCCCCATGCCGATCCCTCTTCTTCCCCCCGTGGCGGCTCCGGCTCCTCGTGCTCCTCCTGATCCTAGGGTCCCTCGGCGATCCGGCCCTCGCCTTCAAGGTCCCGTTCAAGGCCAAGGACGTCCTCCCCGTGCTCCCCCGCCAGATATCGTGGCCCGTCCTCAACACCTTCCACAGCGCCGTGGACCTGCTGCCCTCCTTCGTCGGGTCCGTCGCCCCGGGCAACGGGTCCCTCCGTTGGAACGGGTCCTGCTTCGACGGCAACCGGGCCCGACTCGAGTTCACCCGGGGCGATCGCGGCGAGCCTGGCTTGGGCGGCGGCGTTCTCTACTTGAAGGTCCGTCTTCCGTGCCTCTGTGATCCCGGTCGCGTTGTAAATTTTGTGTTTTGGACCGTGTTTCGTAAGATATTGAACTTAGCGTACGGTCATGTGTGGTGCCCTGTGGCTTTTCTTAGTGCAAATGGAGACTTATAGGCGCTGGTGATTTGAGTCTGGATTGTAGGAGATGGACTTGAAAATTACATCTTTCGTCATTCTTTGTCGGTTATGATGACCGGCATGACTGGGTTTTATATTCTAGTATCTTGAGTTGTGGTATCGAATCTGAATTGTTATTAGTTCGTTAGTCAAAGTAGAGGACGATTGTGGAAACATGAGAAAAGTGTCACTTTTTTTTTTTACTCTGCACTGGATATATGGAGTCAGTATTTGGGTTGAATATCGGTGCTGGCATTGCACCGTTGCTTAGGTTTTACATGCAAAGTTTCTAAAATTATTGCCCTCACTTGTGCTAGGGAAAGCTTAAGTTAATTTGCTTGAATGGGGGGAGCTTATATTCCAGTCTCCAATGGTTTAAAATAGTTCTATATAACTAAATCGCATACCATGCCTCTTTCAAGACAATAAGATTGTTGCTCAATTTTTTGTTTTTCTGCACTTGCTAGTTGCTTCCTTCACTGCAGAAATGAATAATTCGATCTTTTCTTGCTTTTCTCCTTACAGACATCTGAACCGCATAGCTGGACGTGCATGGATTTGTATGTTTTCGCAACGCCATACAGGATCACTTGGGACTATTACTTTTCTGCTAGAGAGCACACATTGAAGTTTGACTCATGGGAAGAACAAGCAGAGTTGGAATATGTATGCCTTGTGTGTTTGATTTAGTTGTGAATTAGTAAATCTCATCGTTGCATCAAAATAACGTTTGAGTTGGATGTTGAGCAGGTAAAGCAGCACGGAGTTTCTGTATTTCTCATGCCATCGGGAATGCTTGGAACATTGCTTTCTCTAATTGATGTGTTGCCCCTGTTTTCTAACACTGTTTGGGGTCAGAATGCTAATTTAGCTTTCCTGAAGAACCATATGGGCGCTACTTTTGAAAAACGTCCTAAGCCCTGGTACACAACTATTAATCCGGATGATGTTCATACTGGCGATTTTTTAGCGGTGTCCAAGATCCGTGGTAGGTGGGGTGGTTTTGAAACATTGGAGAAATGGGTAACTGGTGCTTTTGCCGGTCACACAGCGGTTTGCTTGAAGGATGAACATGGTAATCTGTGGGTTGGTGAATCAGGGCATGAGAATGAGAAGGTGTGTTTTCATTTTTATTCATCAGTTTCTCTATACCAGTTTCTGACATTCGCAAATCAGTAAATGAAGTTCGATGGATATAACTTATGGATTGAGCGAATGGAAAATGAATTGTATGCACCTGAACTTGACACCAAAGAGCAGAAACTTGAAATTCGACCATAACATGTTGTGTGGTCTTCTGTGAATGATTTCACCGACACGAACTTCCGAGCTGGTTTTTGTCTTGCCTCTTGCTCCTGCTAGGGAATGTATTCCCCTTATTGCCTCAGTTGAAGAGAGTCTTGTGTTTTCCCCTTCGCACATCCTAGAATTTTGCCGAGAATCTTTTTTTTTTTAATATTTGAAGTTTGATTGTCTAGAAGAAAAAAAATGTTTTTCATGCGATTTTTCTTGGGCTTAGAAGAGCGGCATTGTTAATAATGAACACAGGTATGACTGGTGTGATTACTTTTTGATATATCCTTCCACCATTTTGATAGCATACTGGTCATTCATTTGCAGGGGGAAGAAATTATTGTGGTTATTCCTTGGCAAGAGTGGTGGGAATTGGCACTAAAAGACAATTCTAATCCCCAGATAGCCTTGCTTCCTTTACATCCAGACGTGCGTGCAAAGTTCAACTCCATGGCAGCATGGGAATATGCTCGAAGCATGTCAGGGAAGCCTTATGGTTATCACAACATGATATTCAGTTGGATTGATACCATAGGAGACAACTATCCTCCTCCTCTTGATGCTCACTTGGTATGCATTTTCCTTATTTATTCTGAACTGTGTGGATAATGTGAAGTTGTGGGAAGTGATTTTATTGATTAACTCATCTTCTGCATCCATTACAGCCTTGTTAATCAGAAATAATTATTCTGCGGTGAATCTGATAGTAGTTGGCAATTTGTTGTTGCTATCTCTTTGGGATTGAAAATGGGAAGTTTGAGATTAGTGAATCTCCTCGACCTGCTTAATGCAATTGCTGTAACAGGGGAATAACGCTTAGCACGTGCTTCAAATAGTATTCTTAAAAGTGATTTATGCATGTTTTTCTTTCGAAATATGATCAAGAGAGTTTTTATTTTCTGGAGTTGCTTTGAATTTTCCAACCTTTGTAACAATTTGGCTATCTTGTTTTGTTTCTTTTTCTTTTTCCTCACGAATGAAAGAGCCATACTCTTTGCAGCGCAGCATTTTTTTGGTTCAGGGTAATTTCAGGAATTATCAATATGTTTCCTGATATTTTGGAGCTTCTTGATAGGTTGTTTCTGTCATGTCAATGTGGACGAGATTGCAGCCAGCATATGCTGCAAATATGTGGAATGAAGCTTTGAATAAGCGCCTTGGGACTGAGGTATAGCTGCTGTCTGGTCATACTTCCGGTTCTGATTTTCTTGTTTCAATTTCTAATATTTTCTTATTTTATCCTTTGTCCTAGCATCAGAGACTAGTTGAGTTTTGTGGATTTAATGACAAAATTTCCCTAAATGAGGAGTTAAAATGGTAATTGTGATACTAGATGCGTGGATATTCTGGTCTGGTCAATATATTATGAGAGATCATGGATGTTTAAATCGGGGAAAAAGAGAGAGGAAGCAGAAGAGTGGTGGTGTGACTGGTGTCCTGGTATTGTGTGCTTTTCTTAGCTACATAAATTGCATACATGGAGCATGTGTCTTAGGCATTTGGCTAGTCTTTCTGATATGGATGGAAAGCAATTCTTTTTGATATCTTGTAGTCACCAAGTCCAAGTGGCTGCTGTCTTTGTAGCATCTCATTCTTGTGAGCTGGAGAGCTTGAGGAGTGGAACCTCATAAATGGTGTTGTGTGCTCGTGGGGACAAAGTGGCTGATTATTGCTGTTTGGCTGTTATTTGGCACGGGGAAAGGGGATGCGAAGGAGAAAAGAGGAAAAATGAAGAAAGAAAAAGAAAAGAGGAAGTGGGGGGGGGGTGTTGTTATATTGAGGTTGAAATGATTATTTTTTTTGTGATTCCTAGTTCTTTAAGGACAGAATTTTCACCATTTACTGGCTTTATTCTCCAATCGCAAAGATCATGCGTTTCTTGCTTTGTCGCAGGAATTGGACTTATATGGAATAATAGGAGAGACTGAGAAGCGAGGGATGTCATTTGATGAACTACTTACTACTCCTGAGCAAGATGATTGGATGTATAGTGATGGGAAATCAACCACATGCGTTGCCTTTATACTTGCTATGTACAAGGAAGCTGGAGTATTTGGTCCCACTTCGAATTCTATTCAAGTAACTGAGTTCACAGTAAGTCATGAATACCCTATTTCATCATCTACTCTTTGTAGTTTTGCATCCTAAAGTTCATCATGGAAAATTTGCTACTGTATATGACCCGACTTTTCTTTGCTCTCAGATTCGTGATGCTTACATGCTGAAGATTTATGAGAATAACCAAACTCGTCTGCCAAGTTGGTGCAGTAACAAGGGCGGTCAACTTCCATTTTGTCAGATTCTTGGGGAATATTGGATGGAATTGCCAGAGTACAACACCATCGAACCATATGCCAACATGAATGAGAACTGTCCTTCGCTGCCTCCAAGTTATGAAAGGCCCAAAAGATGCTAAGGTCATGCTGATCCGTTACTGCATGAGTAATCTACTCTCGAATACTTCTTTCCTCTTCGCAGGGGGCTGTTTGAGCTCCGCAATCTGTCTGGTCATACGAGATCTGTTTAGAAGCAATGATAAAAGTGTGTATGCGATAACTTCTGTGACATCCACGTTTTGTACATATCTAGTCGTGAGATTAAATGAAGGGACAGCTTATGAAATATCTTGCTTAAATAGACAACTTCCAGGGCTGGCTTGTTGACCCTCTACGTTTCGTCTTCTGCGAAATCTGACGGACGTTGTGCTTGTATGAAATGGCTCCTATTGTCAAAAGGTATGGTATAATTTCATAGAAGAGAGTTTGAGAAGTTGCAGGAGATACTGCCTTCAAGTTCCTGAAATCGTGTATGCCTTTTGCAATCCATTTTAGCGAGTAAACTGTGTAGCTCCAAGAGCTCCGATTAAAATTCTTCTTGGAGCATTGAATAGCAGTGCGTGTCCTCCAGGTTCCTGTTAAATGTACAAGCAATTTGGAAAAGCCTTGCAGGTTAGAAGACCTGTTTTGGTAGAATTTTCAAGGTACTTTGTCTAGTTGAATTCAAAATACACTGGCAATATGGTGCCTCTTCACGCGAGCACCAATTAAAACATTATTATGACTCCTGCTCTTTGGATTCAGCTTCACTAATTCCTCCCTACTTGCTTAACAAAAGAGTTATGGCACGTACAAGACCTAGTTGTAAGAAAAGTCTATCCGTTCCCTCTGCTGCTCACAATTCACCATCCCAGAGCTCCGCAAATGTCTGGTAAGGCCTGTGCTCGGAGATGTAATCTTCTCCAAGATATCCTCTGCTCTGTGGGATCTCGTCGATCTTCCTCAATTCTTCCTCCGTCAATTCCCAGTCGAAAATCTCAAGGTTCTCTTTCATCCTCTCCTTGTTGAAGCTCTTGGCGAGTACACAAACTCTTTGTTCATATGCCCATCTGAGGCAAATCTGTTGTCACCACCAAACATGCATCAGTTATCTCCCAATACTCTTCTTGCTCCTCCGTTTGTCTAGGTTTGAGATTACATCTTTATGATTGGTGCTAAAAGACTTGAAAGACAAGAAGCATCTGACCTGGGCAACAGTTTTCCCTTTGGCCCTAGCGATCTCCTTCAGCTGCTCACACTCCATCACCTTACTGCTTCCTCCATTGCTTACTGAAGCTCCTAAAACAGAGTAAGCAGTGAGCAGAACCCCATTGGCCTCGCAGAACTCCCGAAGCTTCTTTTGCTGCCACAGTGGATTGAACTCTACCTTCAAGATTTCAAAATGTTTGGTCAAAATCAACCCGATAAACTCAGAAAAACCCCAATTCAAAAGTCTGTTAGAGAAAGCACCATTCCGTGAATCCATGGTTGTACTCAACTGTCTAGACATGGAATTGATCTATCTATGTTATATACTAACATTCGAGGTTTTCCACTCCGAAAGCTTAGCATCTTCACTTCATTATCATGAAAATTTAGATGTGACAGGAATCAAATTAACAGGGTCATTCCTTTTATCGGACTTCTTCAACTTGTGAAGAAGCTCACCTGGTTGACATCAGGGGGTATCTGTGCATTGGCCAGGATGAAAGAGAGCTTTTTACTAGAGAAATTGCTGACCCCAATGCTTCTTGTGAGTCCTTTTCTCTGGCACTCCTCCATATCCGCCCAAACTGCCTTGAAGTCCATGGGCGTAAAATCTTCTTTCTTCATTGGGAACTCGTAGGTTCCGGGTTTTGCACTCACAGGCCAGTGGATAAGATAGAGATCTATGTAATCCAACTTGATATTTCTGATGAGAATATTCACAAACTAGAGGCTATCAGAAAACATTTTAAAAGGTAAGAACAGATTTGTTATAACATTACCTGCGATATCTCAGTTAAAGTTGCAACAAGTTTTGAGTGTTAATATGACAATGAAATGATCATGTTTACAAGATTATCTCACTAGAAAAATTTTTACTTGAGGCTATTCTTGAGGGCTGGGAGGACAAGCCCAGGATGAGCATCACTGCACCAGAGCTTGGTGGTGATGAAGAGATCTTCTCTTGATTTTATCAGCCCTTGCGACACTGCTTCAGCGATGGCTTCTCCAATTGGTTCCTCTGTGTAGTAGAGAGTTGCAGTGTCAAAATGTCTGTAACCCAGCTTAATTGCTTCAAGAACCGCCGTCTTCACAACTTCACGATCCACTTTCGGAAACGCTGCTGTTCCGAAACCCAAGAGTGGGATTTTCCGGCCACCGGACTTCAATACCGCTACTGGATTGTAAGCTGGAGTGAGGTCAGATTGGTTTTTCATCTTGGATTATGCAGAAGATAGCAGATGATGCAGGGAACTGTTGACTTGGTAATCTTTTTGAGACCGAGTGTGATGGAGCAACCACTCGCATGATAGAAAATGTCTCGGTCTGTGTGTCAAAGGGTATATTCTATATGCTAGGCATATAATAAGAACCCTGTATTATAAAACTACGCTACAGTATGTGGATTAAAAAGGAGGAGCAAGGAACTCGAAAGTTTGAATTTGGTGAGATTCCTTGTATTAAAAACTCCAGGACTCACGTATCAGGAGAAAGAATTCAGAGAAACTTGCTCACGTATTATCTTCGTTTGTTTTTCTCTACCAACAATGCAATATACCACATGTACAGTTCATTTTCTGTGAAGTCTGACAGACGTTGTGCTTGTATGAAATCTCTCCTATTGTCAGAAGGTATGGTATAATTTTATATGACAAGAGTTTCAGAAGTTACACGAGAATGTTATCTTCAAGTTGCTGAAATCGACTGTGACTTTTGCAATCCATTTTAGCAAGTAAACTGTGTTGCTCCGAGTGGAATTCTTCTTGGTGCATTGAATAGCAGTCTGTCATGGTTCCTGTTAATTATACAAGCAATTTGGAAAAGCCTTGCAGGTTGAAGACCTATTTTGGTAGAACTTTCAAGGTACTTTATGTAGTTGTATTCGAAATGTACTGAAAATTCTGTGCCTTTCCAAGTGAGCACCAATAAAAGCTTTATTAGGACTCTTCTACTGAAAAGAATCCTGCTATTTGGATTCAGATTCGCTAATTTCTTCCTACTTGCTTAACAAAAGAGTTTGGCACATACAGGACCTAGCTGGAAGAAGCATCCATCAGTTCCCTCTGCATCTCAAAATTCACCATCCCAGAGCTCCTCAAATGTCCAGCAAGGCCATATCCTCTGCTCTGTGGGATCTCGCAGATCTTCCTCAGCTCTTCCTCTGTCAATTCCCAGTCAAAAATCTCGAGGTTCTCTTTCATCTTCTCCTTGTTGAAGCTCTTGGCAAGTACACACACTCCTTGTTCATACGCCCATCTGAGGCAAATCTGTTGTCACTACCAAATATGCATCAGTTATCTCCCAATACTCTTCTTGCTCCTCCATGAGTCTAGATTTGAGATCAAATCTTTATGATTGGTGCCAAGAGACTCAAAGAACAAGAAGCACCTGACCTGGCAACAGTTTTTCCTTTGGCCCCAGCAATCTCCTTTAGTGGCTCAAGCTCCATCACCTTATTACACTACTGCTGGGAAATACTGCAAACAACCCGGTTCTTCACTCAAGAACTGCATAAAGTCCGTCTAAGAATTTTTCGTGATGAGCATTGCGACCGACAAGGAAAAAAAGTTGGTAATTCTATATTAGGGTGAGAATGCATAAGGGCGTGAAGCCCCCGCTTTGTTAGTGAGATATCTGTGTGCCTAGAGCTGACATTCTAGGAGGCCCTGGTCAGTTTCAGCCTTTCAGGGTGAGTATTTTCAGGCATAAGTTAACTTCCAATTTCGGGTTGTGCTGGTTTAATTCCTAATATAAACTGGTTTCCAATTTGTACAATTGGTTTCTCCCTCTATTATGTGTACGATTTTCGGACGTAGATAAGGATCTAGTTGACCTGCAATTACTCGAGTTTGATCCGTTTATCGAATGTGGGTAATAGCTTAATCAATTTCATGTTGGAAAATAGGTGAGTATCTTGAAATTAATAATATTGGACCTGCAAAACACTCTTGAGAATTGATGAAATTGAATATAATTATGCAGAGATGAGTAAAACTTTTGAAGAGGTTAGTCCTGCAGCAATTATTTTATGCTTAGAGGGTAGAGCTCACCATTACAACTACTACTGGTTGACATAACTTCATTACTTCTGTCAGCTCTGGGATGCTTTCATGCCGAAGATTTTCGAGAGAATACGAAATTGTATGACGAGTAGGTGCTGTAACACAATGTGGTCACCTCCTCGTTCTTTCAATGTAAAACAGGCTACACCATGGAAGCTCCAAGTTAGGATAAGACTGAAAGCTGGTAAACTTGGACAGAGCTTTCACTGGGTGAGTTTCTTGTTAGTTATTTCAATTGCTTGATTTATCCAGTAGTTCTTTATCTACAATTTGCAGCTTCTGTAAGTGAACCGTGGACTGCTGCTGAAATTGGAATGCATGTATTTGTCAAATGCATTTACTTATGGAGTACAATTACTCCTAAGGTCCATTGGTCATCTGATCTGTTATTAGCATCTGCAATTGACCTTCTGTAAGTGTCACAGCGAAATTGTGACTGAGATCATGTTTATTGCAGTTTACGGTAGAGGCTAAAATATTGCACGATACTTTGTTTGTTCGAGTTCATCTTCTACATTGCAGTCTGTGCCGGCAAATGGAAAATCTTTTTGGCTGTTTCATTCAGCCGTCTGGACAATTGGAAGCCTCTCCATGAGGCTGTAAACCAGATATTGCTGAAAACCCAAGGGTAAAGTGCAATGTTGGACTTAGCAACATTTCTTGCAAAAGAACATGTCACAAGCTTTGCAAGTTGAAAACCTGCTTGAGTGTAACCTGTGACGTTGTTCTGAAAGATTCCGGGTATCTGTTGAAACACGGTTTGATGATGCCAACTATTTGTAGATTTCCAATGTGCTGATTCAAATTAGTTGAAAGTTCAACATAAGCACGCTTCTTCAGCTAGGAAATAAGCTGCAAAAACCTGATCAGATCCATTCACGAAAAGTGAGGTTCTATCCTAAGAGTTCAGGTGATATTCAGCTCCTCTTTCATATGAAGAAAGCTAGGTACATCCACCAAACTCGAAACTCGTCAGAAAGTGTTCTGAGCAGCCTGTATTGCTCACAGCTCACCATCCCACAGCTCCTCAATCGTCTTGAAAGGCCCGTGCACCGAGATGTAATCTTCTCCTAGACATCCTCTGGTTTGGGGGATCTCGCTTATCTTCTTGTTCTCTTCCTCTGTCAACTCCCACTCAAAAATCTCGACGTTCTCCTTCATTCTCTCCTTGTTGAAGCTTTTGGCCAGTACAGACACTCCTTGCTCAAATGCCCATCTCAGGCAAATCTGTTCATCACCACCCAAAATATCAGCATCACTCAACATCTTCATCCATCTAAAATTGGAAATTTAATCACTAAACTAGGGCTGAGGCTCGAGAACAGAAGCACCTGACCTGCGCAACAGTTTTTCCCTTGGCCTCGGCGATCTCCTTGAGCTGCTCGCATTCTATGACCCTATTGCTTCCCCATATGGTTCCTTTAGCGCCTAAAGCGGCATAAGCAGTCAATAGGATCTCGTGGTCTCTGCAGAACTCTTTAAGTTTCTTTTGCTGCCACAGCGGATTGAATTCCACCTTGCCACGGACAATGCATCAGCGTCAAAACCATGTCATACCAACATCTAGGACATACATCAGAAGAATCAAAGAAATTTACCTGATTAACAGCCGGTGGTACTTGTGCAGTAGCCAGAATTTCAGACATCTTTTTACAAGAGAAATTGCTGACTCCGATGCTTTTAGTTAGTCCTTTCTTCTGGCACTCCTCCATGTCAGCCCAAACGGCCTTGAAGTCCATGGGTAGAAATTCTTCCTTCTTGATCGGGAACTCGTACGTTCCGGGTTTCGAGCTCACTGGCCAGTGGATGAGGTAAAGATCTATGTAGTCCAACTTGAGATTTCTGAGCAGAGTGTACACAAGCAGAGATCATCAGGAAATGTGCAGAGCAAATGACTTCCGCAGTCTCAGCTTTATGTCATTGTACAGAATCATTCTATCATCTACAATGCATTGATCAGTTACCACTGCATAACAATTAGTGCCACCAGTTTCGAACACTAACTATTCTCTGTACAGTTCAAATCTCAGAGGATGTCTACGAAAAGGGAAACTAGTTAAATAAGAGATCTTTAGATATATTAAGATGGATTTATATAATTCGTGCATAAATTAACGTAATCACACATTCAAATGAGCAGATCATATTCCATTTTCGACCAAAGCATGAGAAATCAGTTTGTAAATAAATTTTGTTAATCAGTTGGGCATATCAAAACTAGGGGTGAGCAGTTTAGGTTCCTTACAGGTTCCACCTGAAATCTGGAACCTACTTGTCGGAACAAGTTCCTCATTTTTTAAAACCTGGAACCTGGTAACCTGGAACCCACCCAGTCACAGGTTCCAAACAGGTTCCTTTTTTTTGTTTCACTTTTAGTTAAGCAAAATGAAAGTTAACGCAATAACAAAAATGAAAGTTTCTCATTTGTCAATAGAAACAATCAATAAAAGATGAACACGTAAAATAAAATAAACAATAAAGAGTTCAAAACACGTAAAATAAAACCTAGATTATCGTCATACATGTTAACATGTGACAACATAAGCTTCACCAATCTCTAGTGAAGATCATGACCATACTAATCACCATACCTACAATCCTACGGAGCACAAGGTCCATGGATTCCAATCTGTTTTAATGGGCATAACAAATTTATCTTGAATATATTAAATGCGATATAAAATCTCGTGATAGTATGATACCCGCCATTGTAGTTTTTCACCGATAGCGTACTATAGAGTAATTTATCTCAATCTATCAACGACATAGAATAATATAAATTACAACAAGACACCAATGTTATATGTTGGTTTTTAGGAAATGAAACTATAATAAATCTAATGGTTTCGGAAAATTAATATGATATCCAACTTTCTTATCGCTCTATGTAGCCGCTGATATCTAAAAACCTTTTATGTTAAGTCTCAATCTATCCTCTTCGTTAGAACTTTATGAGTGACTATTAGGGTATGTTTGTTTCGCCGGAAATGAACAATTTGAAAAAGATTTTCCTAAAAATGATCGTTTATTTCGCTTATAAAAATGAATGAATGAAAAACATTTTTATTGTTCAAGAAAATGTTTTGGCATAAATTATTATCGATAATGAAAATATTTTTTATTGGTTAATTATTTCAAGCGATATGGCTGAATCATTTTTAGGTAAATGCTTTTCACATCGTGTATTTTCCGCGAAACAAACGGACCCATAGTAGAGAATTAAATCTCTCCCCAAGAGTAACCCCTATTTCAATTAAAGACGACCTTACGCACATTGATCCTTATTAATTGCCCGAAAGATTACTGTAAACCCCTACATAGATAAACACATCTAGGTTCTTATGAGAAAAAAAAGTAAAAGGTTTCCTTTTAGGGTTTTCCCAGTTCCCCGAGGGAACCGAACCGGGAACCAGCCGGAGCGCATGGAACCGGTCGGTTCTCCAATTCCCGATTCTATCCTGAAACCATGTTCGCCCCCGAATCAAAACCAACCTACATTGACATGCTCATGATGCAGAGAATCTTTACATGTTAAAACCTCGCAGGTCTTGAATCGCACAAGAAGCTAATATGGGACTGGGTGGGAGATTTCTGAGGTGTAAAATTACTTGAGGCTCTTCTGGAGAGCAGGGAGGACAAGCCCCGGGTGAGCATCACTGCACCAGAGCTTGGAGGTGACGAAGAGCTCTTCCCTCGATTTGATCAGCCCCCTCGAGAGGGCTTCGCTCACGGCCTCGCCGAGCGGCTCCTCCGTGCTGTACAGGGCCGCGGTGTCGAAGTGCCTGTAGCCCAGCTCGATGGCCTCCAGGACGGCCAGCTTCGTCGCCCCCGGCGCCACCGGCGGCGACGCGGCGGTGCCCAGGCCGAGGAGCGGCATTCTCCGGCCGCCGGGCTTCAGCGCCGCTTCGGGGATCTTGGCCGGGGCGTGGCCAGAGGGGCGGGCGTCGTCCATTTCGGGTCGGGTTGATGGGTGGGCAGATCAGAGCGCAACTTGCATGCGAAAGGTCCTTCGTCTTTGCTCGTCCGTGTGAATTGACAAATACTATATTGTATGTTCTTTAAATTATATTTGGGCCGCGACGATGATGATGACAGAAGAGACGGTTGTTTCGTGGGGATGGTTGGGTGGTTGCTATGATGATGGGGAGTGGGAGAGGGAATCGGCAATTTTGATTGATTTGGTCAAGGTCAGAACTCAAGATTCCCAGAAGATTTCAGATTCACCAAAGGTAAAAACAATAAAGGGAAAATGACACTAATAGTCCCTGAATTTTGACTCAATGTGCAATTTGGTTCATGAACTTTTAATTTGTTTAATGTAGTCCCTGAACTTTAACCTAATGTTCAATTTGGTCCCTGAACTTTTGATTTGTTCAATGTGGTCCCTGAACTTTTAATATGTGTTCAATTTAGTCCTTGAACTATTTGAAAATGTTCAATATAGTCCTTCCATTAATTCAAGTGCAG